TCTTTCTTTCTTTCACTGTTAAATGTATCACCCACTTTCCACTATTTATGTTATGAGTCTCATGTAATAGGGGGTGAGCCTATTGCCATATACCGAGCACAATTCCAGACTCCGTGCTACTATTGAGTATTTTTAAAAACCCAATAATACTTTGCCCGACCCTGGAATCGAACCCGAGACTCCTTGCCCGACAGTCGCACTTGCGACCACTCGGCCAGTGAGGCAGTCATTTTGGAACCTGTATTGAACTAAATCAGATGGTGGTAGGAAGAAAAGGAATATTTTCGACTTCTCTAGGATTTATTTTTGCTGAAAATTCAGTAACTTAAAAATTGCATAATCTGAATTTTCATCCATTTTTAAACGACTCCAATAAAAGAAGGGGAGGTACTTAGTTTTACATTTACCAGTATGTATGTTTGTGCGTGAATATCACGCAATTACCTGAATCGATTTTAATAGGGTTTTCAGAAAACTTTTTGTTACACTTAGGGAAAGGTTTTAGTACATTAATGTTGTATTTTTGCAATCAATTTATACTAATATATGAGGACGTACTTTACGTTGTATTACGATTTTCCTGCAGCCATGGAAGCTGAAAATGATTCCAAAATATATAATTCATCAACAGCCTATAGATGCCACTCTGAACACTCAATTGATTGAGGACAAATCACTTTTTATACGTTTTAAGAGTAATAAGTGAGATGATAAAAAGAGAAAAAATGCAGGTTTATTGTAGGGGTGCAATTAAATGCACCCTAGCCCATTATCATCATTATGATCATACAACAACAGCCTATAAGTCGCCACTGCTGACCAAAGCCTCTTCTCACACGGAGAAGGTTTGTGCATTAATCACCACGCTTGATAAATGCGGGTTGGCGATTACAAACTTATAATTGGAAATTATAAGTCCAGGTTTCCTCACGATGTTTTCCCATCACCGTTTGTCAGTGGTGTCTAAATAATCTTGACTTGAAATTGACTGCACGGTTGGTAAGGTGGCTGGGCAACCGGCTGCCGTGCAACGTGTCGCGGGTTCGATTCCCGCACGGAACAACACTTTGTGTGATCCACAAATTTTTGTTTCGTGTCTGGGTGTCATTGTGTATGTGAACGTGTATGTTTGTAAATGCACCCACGACACAGGAGAAAATCCTAGTGGGGGCAACGTTGTTATAAAAAAAAATATCTTAGAAAGTACATATAACTCGGAAAAAGTCACATTGGTACTTGCCATTGGTAGGTTTCGAACCCACATTCTCATGCATGAGAAGCTAGCGTCGTAAACCTCCGGGCCACCACGACAAAATATATAATTATAGATAAATAATTACACAAGTACATAAGGCGGACACTCTCTCTAATACTAACCAAGAAATAAGAAAACAAGAATAGTAAATAGGTAGTTTCGTTTGAACTAGATAGAAGTTAGCCTGTGACTCCTCTGGTGTTGCGGGTGTCCATGGGCGGCGCTGATCGCTTACCATCAGGTGATCCGTCTGCTCGTTTGCCTCCTATTCCATAAAAAAAACTTGACGGGCTGATATTTAATTTATTGAATACGTTGTCTCATCAAGAGATGAGTGCTTGGCATGAGTAATGAAAAGACGAGATCTTGTAATCAGTCAGGCACTCATTATACAATAATAATAATAATTACTAAAAATATTATAAAACTCCTCCATCAGAATACAAATATAGTAGCAATAAAAGTTTGAATTAACTAAACAAAGCCACGTCGACACCGTTTGTTTAATCTCTAGTTATAAAACGACATACGTATATGTTTTCTAGCTTAAAATATAATCAACATTCAGTTGTATTGTTAAATAACTGTATATGAAAATTTTATGGTTGTGTATCTGTTTGTTCAAAAGAAAGAAAAACCATTTATTTTGCTACGACACACAACAAGGATTTAGAAACACAAATAAGCCCCTGGTGCGTCGCAGCGCAAAAGGCTGGAGCTCAGCTTAATACCGTGGACCGGCCACAGAGGCTCGAGCCCACGGCGCTGATGAAAGCACTATCATATCAATTTCCCCAACAAGGCCATATTTAAAGTCAAAGAATTTATTTAAACCTCAAATAGGTACTTTTGAGACGTAAAATTGAATTGTCCATCAGTCTATCCGCTTGGTGCTCGTTCTAAAGTGTAGTTTTGAAAAGAGAAGAATGAGCGAGACAGTCAATCGTTTTATTTCTCTTTTCAAACATGATTTTTGTAGTCTTATACATGATTTGTTTTATTTACCAATATTGTTATTTCTTTTTTTTGGTTTTAATTGTTTTTTTTTTAATTTATTGTTACCTAATTAGTGTAACACACTGTGTAACGGTGTCATTATTTCTTTTCCTACCACAGGCCCACAGGAACAAATTCCTGTGAGAATTTGTGGGACCTATGTACTTTGTTTTAATATATGTGTTGTCCTTTGTATGTGTGTGCATCACTACATAGTATAAAACAAAGTCGCTATCCGCCATCTGTCTGTCTATTTAAAACTACGCAACGCATTTTGATGCATTTTTTAATAGAGTGATTCTTAAGGAAGGTTTATATGTATATTATATGCATATCGCACCCGTGCGAAGCCGGGGCGGGTCGCTAGTAAACGATAAATAAATAAATATTTTATTTTAATCAATTAGATACCCCTTTCTCAGACTATTAACCTTCAAAAGCCTTTTATTTATTTTCCCTCACGGAACATGAACATAAGGGAAATTACCAATATGGCGTAACATTACAATCTTGAAACAAATATAAAATGTAATATAGTATTATTAAAAAAATACTAATATTAATAAGAGTTTGGATGAATGTTTGTTAGCCAATAACTTCAAAACAGCTCGATAGGTGTAGATGTAAATTGACACAAAGATAGATTACAGACAATTATAAAACAAGGTTTTCTTTATCTCACTAAAGCAGACAAAGCAGCTAGCGGAACCTAGTTGCAAACAAATAAAAATATTATGTATTAAAATAACAGGAAAATACAGGTATCGAACCATGTTTCGAGTATCACTTAAGAATGAAATGGGGTGAATGCTCCAGTTATCGGTCGGTGGGCGTAACGAATAAATAATTTTATTTATTATAGTTACAGGAATAACTATATCGATTGTATTATTGACCTTATAATTGTTACATCATTTTGCCTTTCTATTGACCTAGTGAATTATAGGTTTTTTTTCTTAGTACTATCATGGAAAAGAGATTCACGGCGTTAATTTTACAGATTTATAACTATATTTTACAGATAAATATAAAGTTTCATTCCAAACTGTTCTGCAGTTTTGTATTAACTCGTCAAGTACCATATTTATAGACACAATTAAAGAACAATAGATTGCGGTCACCGGTGACCGCTCGGTGTTTGACAGTTTAAAAGTGTAACGAGTGGAGTCAATTAGGTACATATGCTGTTAAAATAAAGAAAGAAAGAAAATCTTTATTTCACACGCTAAAACAGGTGACACGTACAGATTTTACACATAAGTTTATATATATCTACTAATGTCCCAAGTCTGCGGTGAAATGGGACCAGTTCAGCATGTGGAAGACAGGGCCTCGCGCTGGTATTCTACTGGCCCCATAAGTGAATCGCGGACGATGTGATGTGACAGGCACCAGTGAGCATATTACTAAGCAAAAGAAAATAAATAAGAATATTACTAAGTAAAAGAGATAAGTACTTACAATTTCCAACAAAGACAAAACAAGGAATCATCATCATCATCATCAACAGCCGAAAGACGTCTACTGGATAAAATCCTCCCCCTTGGTCCTCCACGTAGAACGAAAACTCGCCACTTGCATTCACTAGCTCCCCACAACTCTGGCGATGTCGTCGGTCCACCTAACAAGGAATACAGTGCCAAAAATATAAATAACTTTACTATGAATTTATTAAGAGTCAATTGAATAATATTTTATATCTTATTCAATGCGTAAAAGAGTAAATAAATGCTCATATAATCTTGCAGGCGTTGTTGTTCAAATGGTTAGTGCGGGGTCAGTAGGTCCAATGGAGAGACCATTGCCTTCCACTTTCTTTCTTTCTCTTTCTTCATTAGTCTTATATATAGTACTGTTGTGGTCTTAATCTTCTTTATGAAGTTATTAGAAGTTAAATAGGTTGTATATACGTAATTGTTTGCTACAATAATAATGTGGTCAAATTTTTTAGAGAGGAAATTTATTTAACGGCTCTGTCAACAAAGTGAAGTAAAGTATACAGTAAAGTAGTATAAAGTAAAGAATACAGTTGAAAATTTAAGAATTTTAGATTTTTTAGAAGGATATCATTCTTTGCACACTGAGCAAAATAGAAAAAATAAAAGAAAATTTTACAAGGGCCACCTAAGACCCTATGTACCAGAGCAAAGAATAAATATTTTATGAACTACGCCTAAAAATACCGTTTTTAACGCCGTAAATACCGTTTTTAATATCGGTTGATGGTATACTAAACCGTCTCCTAAGTAAAACAAACACTTTTCTGAAAGCCGCATCAAAATCGGTAGAGCTAATCTTGAGATAACCGCGTACAAACATACATACATACAGGTCAAATTGACCACCTTTTTTTTAAGGTCGGTTAAAAATGAACACTTTCAACAATGCCCCAAGCCCAATGGATGTACTCTACAAGAGAAGAAAAGTTTCAACAGTATCCAACTGGATCTTTAACCATTGCCAATATTAGAAGACACCAATCCCATCCTTTTCCCAACCTATAAACGATAAGGACAAACAGTCTTACTTATTGAATAATAAGGTAACGAGGAACACAATTGCGGTACGCGCCTTACTCGCATTTGTTCGCCAGCGTGGCAGCAAACAAACAAAAGATTGTAATGATCTCACAGTATTTAGTTGCTTATAATTTATAGAAAGCACTCATTCAATGATTAGCCAGAGAAAATAGAACGTGTGTGTCAGTTTTTGAAAAAAAAAGAAAATTGTTTTTTTTTTGTAATCGAAAATGGAAAAGGAAAAAGTCAGGACTAAGGAGTTGTTGATTCAAGTTTTGGCTACTGCTATAAGTGAGATTTTTTTGTTTTTTTTTTCGGATCAATTATTTAAAAAAAGTTTTACTTCTTTTTACAAATCGTTGTACCTTTCTGAGTTGTTGATATTTTCCTTGGATTGTTAAATTAGGAGCGGTGACATAGTAGTTTTTTAAAATCAGTATTTGTATTTGAACGGTCAGAATATGTTAACTGTAAATTGGTAATGTTAATTTTTGATATTTTTTTTAAGAATCCTCCTTTTTTGTATAAACTTTAGAGTGGGTCGTGGAATAAATATTATCAGCTAAATTAAAGTGATGTTAACTTAATTTTTAATACCTTTTCTATAGGTTTCTTTTATGCGTGATTTATAAACTTATTTATCCGTTATCTAAGGAGAAAAATAAAGTGATAGCAGATAGGAAATAAAAAAGCAGATATAGTTTACTAGTCTATGTTTTATTGTTAAGGATATAACTAGTACCTAAAGATTTTAAATACTGAACTCATAAAAACTATCTATTTTTATTTCGATATAGTCATCCCTGTATTCGATGATATTTTTCGCATTAAGTTATAATTCGTTTTCCATAGCAGTTCTAACGTTTTTAATCATGAATATATTTAACAAAAAAGAGTTAACAATTAGGGAACAATTTGTGGGCTTATAATAAATTATTTTAAAGTTTTGGAGTTATCAAAGTAATAAACAATCAAAGCGAATAATGTATATTTAGGAACAATGTCTTAGTAGGTACGTTAATATTGAAAAGTGTTAGGTATAGATTTATTCCCTTAGTCTTTCGCAGCCTTTTTTGTAGAAGGTCGTTTTATTGCTAGTAACTATATCTATGAGCTAAGCAGTGATATCAAGTAAACTGATCAAACGGCATTAATGTGAAGCGATATTTCCGATATATGTATGCAATTACATTGAATCATTGAATATATAGGTATTTTAATAATTGATAATATATTTTTTAATAAAATTAAACGTCATTATTTATTTTATTTATTATGTTTCATGCATAAAATGTACAAATAGGTGGACTTAATGCCGCAGGCATTTGGGTGATGCAGAGAACTTTACCTACCATCCTGACCTTTGGGTGATGCAGAGAAGGGAAAAGAGTATATCATTACTTCAGCAGTTGATATTAATACCGTCAACAGTTTTATTGTGAACAGTAAAAAGTTTTAAGGATCAGATCTTAGCTTTCATGATCCATACCAAACTACAAAACCCTATGTGGCAGTCATTAATAACTATGTATATTATTGTTATTAAACTAGGTGTTGCCCGCGATTTCGTACGCATTTTTTTAAGGGGGGAAATTCATCGAATGGCTTTTTCCGCCTGGGTGAGGCGGGAGGGAGTGTCAGACTCTTACTGACTACAAACCACCCCGTTCCTACTTCTACTCTTCGAGCCGGAGCCCCGGCAACCCGTTAAGTCTTCCGCGGCACCGTATCGGCATCAGCCCTATTCCATCCGTGGTGGTCTGATGGCTCTTTCGATCGCATAAAATATGAATGTCAGAACACAACGTTCTTTTGTTTCTTCAATTTTCCAAAATAAAAGTTGCCTATGTTACTCCTTAGCAGCTAATTGTCAATAAAAGTCTTCCAAAATCGGTCTAGCCGTTAGAGATTAGCCAGTACAAACAGACAGACATACAAAAATAGTAAAAGTATGTTATTTTGCTATGTGTATATCGTATGTATATGTATATTCATATGCGTGTAGTAAAAAGCGGTTATTTTAATATTACAAACATACACTTCAATTTTATTTATCTGTATAGATCTACGACTGTATACAATGGCGTCAATTAGTTATAACTCAATACTATAAAACATGTGGGTATGCTTATCATTTTATTTACTTAAACATTTAGGTAAATAATATAATAACGATTGTTATACGAACAGAATATGATGATTGTAAATAGAATATAAGACGTATAATTTCCTTAAACAATTCTGTTTAGATAGTAAGGTAGGTTTTATGAGAAACGAGATTTGTTCAGCGGTTTTTGTCTCATTGAGGTAGGATGCTATCTTTGACAGTTTTTCTTACACTGTGATTTGTTATATATTACTTTATTTCTGTCTCTATAAAGAGTCAAATAATTTATCGAAATTAAACGTTAATTTATCTACTAAGTTCTTATTTTTTTAAACGTTACCACATTATAATTTTGTCGTGTGTCGTTGGTGCGTTTTCAAATAAAGATCCGGAAAAGCACTCGGCGGATTGCACAAAGAGTGGAATTAAACCTGTGATACCGTTGGTGTCATAGAGAAGTTCTCTGCCATCACTCAAAACGTAGTTCCACGCGACAATCAGACCTGCAAGACCGTGTGCCGACGCAGCGGTTAGGCAACAGTTACTGTGTCAACTAGGCAGTCAATTGCCAGGTTTAGGTACTCCAGGATCATGATAGCATTTATGTAAAAAATAGCTTTTGCTAGCGGCTTCACCCGCGTTCTCGTGGAATAAAAAGTAGCCTAAGTGTCATGTCAAACAGTAATCTACGCCTTTTAGAATTCGATTCATTCAGATTCGATTCAATCAGATTCGATTCGAAAGAAACTAATTTGATCTCGGTCCCATCGGCCATTTTGATGTGATGGAGTAACAAACACACATTCCCAAATTCACATTTTTACAATATCTACCAACTTCTGCCCGCGACTTCGTACGCGCAATCCCGTTTTCTCCCGTTCCCGTAAGATTTTCAGGATTTTTTCTATCATAAGAACCATTAGCATACTCTTCACAATAAAAAACACAACAAAAAAAAATCAGCCAAATCGGTCCAGCCATCCTTAAGTTATGGCATGACAACGGGAAACGGGTTTCATTTTGATTGTATATTAGCGACCCGCCCCGGCTTCGCACGGGTGCAATATGCATGTATTATACATATAAACCTTCCTCTTGAATTACTCTATCTATTAAAAAAACCGCATCAAAATCCGTTGCGTAGTTTCAAAGATTTAAGCATACAAAGGGACATAGGGACAGAGAAAGCGACTTTGTTTTATACTATGTAGTGATATAGACTGATATAATGTTTTGTTTTCTTTTCCAGTATGTTTTCAAGCATGCCTAACAGGATTTGTGGTATCATGGCCGTCTTACACAGTGGGCAATTTTATGTCCAATGAAACAGTCCTATCAACTCCAATGTCCTCAATAGATGTATCGCTATTGGGCAGTTTGCCCAACATTGGTGGACTTATCATCAGCCCGTTTTGTGGGTACGCCTTCAATACCTTTGGAAGGAAATATGCTACTATATTGTTTACCGTGCCTTATATTGTGAGTATTGTTTTATTTTTACTTAAATGCAGCTCAATTTTAATATCAAATAATTATTATTACTTTAACGTTATAAAAAATCTAATCTATTATTGTTATTTTAATATTTTCTGCAATATCGCATTGGGTCTAGCCTGTTGTAAGGATATTTATATGATAGGTTTAAATCCTTACTATCCTTGCTAATATTATAAATTGGAAAGTGAGTTTGTTTGTTTGTTTGTTCCGCTTTCACGCCGTAACTACTAAACCGATTGCTTTGAATTTTTGCAGACGTAAAGTTAGAAGTACGGATTAAATAATAGGGTACTTTTTATCCCGGAAAATTGATATTCTCGAGGAGAAATAAAAGTATTGGTATAGATGGTGCTGTATCGATTAGTATATGTCACATAGGCTAGTTTTTATCCTTTTGTGAAGCGAGCGAAGCCGCCGGTAAAAGCTAGTAAATAAATAAATAAAATCTTTCCAAACACATTAGACGTGCTGAAAGTGAACTTACAACATGTTTCGATGTTCTCTTGTCTAGTTCTAGTCAACTTAAATATTAATTATTTACTGAGAAGAACTTAAACGATACAACATAAACACATAACATCACGCCTTTTATCCCGGAAGGGGTAGGCAGAGGTGCACATTGTACCACTGTACAATGTAACACCCACTTTTCACTATTTATGTTATGAGTCCCATGTAATAGGGGGTGAGCCTATTGCCATATACCGGGCACAATTCCAGACTCCGTGCTACTACTGAGAATATTTAACAACCCAGTAATACTTTGCCCGACCCGGGAATCGAACCCGAGACCCCTTGCCCGGCAGTCGCACATACGTCCACTCGGCTAACGAGGCAGTCTTATCTTAAACGATATCAGATGTTATTTAGCTTTAGTTAATATCCTATAAACATGGATGTGACTCCTACGCGATGTACAGTTTGTGTACTGCGAGCTCACCCTTGCCAAGCAAAAAAGTAACTTAATTGAAAATACTATGAAAATTAAAATTACTAAAATTAAATTACCTAATCAGTTTTCTCTAATCATTCCAGTTGACATGGCTGATAATATCAGTGACATCCAGCGTGCCTCTAGTCCTGGCATCGATGTGCATTGGCGGCATCGGTATCGCAGGGCAGAATGTGGCCATCATCTACATTTCCGAGATAGCACACGACTCTATACGGGGAGGCCTCACTGCGAGCTCTGCTTCGGGATATTTCTTAGGTATGTACTTAAAACGAAACGATACGACAAATTATTGCTAACAAGCAAAAGGTTTTATTCAATTTTTAGCGTTATTGCAAAAATAGAAGGTTGAAAATGAAAAAAAAACAGGTTAGTGGAGTTTAAGAAATTATTGTTTGTCCTCTCTTCGGGTTCCCATATTCAGGGAAACTAAGGTGATAAAGAATGATATGCACTTCATTCTATATAGATTTTATGTAAAACCAATAAGGTCTAATCTCTATTAGCTCATTTTGGAACAATTTAATTTATAATGTTGGTCTGCGTGTCAATAGAAAAAAAAAACAGCAGCTCACACGAAAATATATATAGAGTTTTTTCACGGAATCAAAAGCGAAACTACTAAGTACGTTTAACTTAATTCCGTATAATCAGTTTAATAATGTTCAATCTCCTGTGTCATTCCAGGTATCTTGATAACATACGCGCTCGGAGGCAACTTGGCGTACATGGAAGTGATATACACACACTTGGGGTTGTCCATACTCTGTGTGTTGTTACTATTGTTGCTTCCTGAATCTCCTGTGTTCCTGGTACTTGTGGGGAGAGAAGAGGTATGTCTGTTTCACTTATGCCTACTTATCCTTACTAATATTATAAATCTGAAAGTGAGTTTGTTTGTTTGTTTGTTTGTTCCACCATCACGCCGTAATTGGTCAACCGATTGCTTTGAATTTTTGCAGACGTAATGCTAGAAGTCTGGATTAAATAATAGGGTTAAAAAAAAATGATATTCCCGAGTAAAAACAAAAGTATTGGTATAGATGGCGCTGTGTGTATTGGTATATGTCACATTGGCTACTTTTTATTCTTTTGTTATGCGAGCGAAGCCGCGGGTAAAAGCTAGTATTTAAATAAAGTCCATTTTGAACTGCCTCTGATTGTTGAGCAGTAAGGGGTCATTGGTTTGATTGTCGGATACCATTCAGGCTTCGTCATATTGCTGACAATTTTATATGTTGCCAATCTCAGTATTCTGCCTTGATTCGGGAATCAAATCAGAAAAGCCTTTAGCTGAATTTACGATTAAAAACTCCTTACTATAACGAAGCAATGTCAAAAATCATAAAAAGACTGTAAAATAAAAATCTAGCATTCACACTATCGAACATAAAATCATTAAACAACATTTCAAGATTCTGTTTTTTTTATGGAATAAGCCGGTAAACGAGCATCCAGACCACCTGATGGTAAGCAAACGGAACCGCCACTGGGCATCCGAAACACCAGAGGTGTTACAAGTGCGTTACCGTTTAGATTATTACATTATGATTTTAAGGATTATCGGGGATTGGGGAGGGGAGTAATTGTTCCTCCAATAATCTCACTCACACGATGAAACACAGAGCAAATGTTGTTTCACGTCTATTTTCTGCTCGGCCGTGGTACATTATCGTGACTGTATCGTGCCGAAGCATAGGTCTGCTACAATTGAATTAATTGCAACTGAATTTAAACTTAATGTTACAGGACGCTGCAAAATCAATAGCGTTCTACAGACAACTGGATGCTAAGTCCAAGGAGGTGGAAGCTGAGATCGCTAAGATCAGACTGCAGATTGATCCGAGACTGGAGAGTTTACTTGAAGGAGACAACGGTTAGTAGTTTACATTTTCCTTTTATACTGAATTTGTGAAAATTTTTGAACATATCCATGTCCTTAAAGACTACAGGATTTGATGTTCCTTAATTCGTAGAAAAGAAATACTCTCCGATTTGGCTAGGTATTCGTGCCTAGCGTGTCCACAAGTAGTACGATATTTTAAATCCAATTTGAAATGGGCGTGCAAAGTATGTGTGATGTTGAATTTTGGAAGCGCGCCACCTGGTGATTAGTTGCTGTAACTTACTTGCATCTGTTATGTTCATCTTGTACAATAGATGTCGCTATAAACTATATTGCATCAATTTTATTGCATAGAAGTAAGACGGTGATGCATGGATGCAACAGTTTAATGAAACTGGCGATAATAGCGTGTAGAATTTAACATGTGAACTCCTATTTTAGTGTTTAGAGAAATTAAAGCCTAATTGTTTACTCCACACGAGACCGACTCTGTAGACGAGACCTTAACATAGTTGGGTTTTAATTCTTTGAATACCGTCATCATGGAACTGCAATTGTCATAATTGTAACAGTGTGGAAAGTAGATGGTGTTATTCCATGAAACACTCTCTCTTTCTCTCTTTTTCACGGTGCAACAATGATGACTATACAACGTTATCAGAACACTTCTTGATAGGTATTGAAGGTTTCTGTTGTAATGCTGGTACGTGTTAGTCTCCGTCTCGTGTTAGAGTTTTTTTATGAAATGGGAGGCAAACTAGCAAACGGATCACCTGATAATAAGCGGTCAGCGCCGCCCATGGATACCAGAGGAGTCACAAGTGCGTTGCCGGCCTTTTAAAAACGTACGATTTCTAAGATAGACGAAAGTTATGTAGGCTTTTAGCCCCAATGAGTTTTCGTTATCTTTCTAGTGATTGTTATATTGCTCTTTTAAAATACAATCAGTACCTACAGTTACCTAATTGGTTAAAAATTGGTTAAAGTTGGTTAAAAAAAATTGATACTTTCTATTTGTAAGTATCTTGCTAGTATGGATCTATCGGATAGTAAAGGTCCAACCTTTACTATCCGATGTCAATCCAAAATCTTTGGATTCTTATTGCTGAAGTTAAACCTTAAGGTCGATTTTTCCAACGCCATATAAATTTTAATTGAGGAATAACTTAATTTTGAACGTGTGAACTGAGGATTCACTAATATTTTTTCGTGGGTGCGTTTACAAACATACAAATTTACATACACATGACACCCAGACCCGAAACAACAGTTCTATCAGTAGTCATGTTAATTGACTAGAATAGCGTCATCGCTCATGATAACCTGCAATAAAGCAATGAAAGTACTAAAAGTCTGAGATTGAAGCAGAAGGATTAAAACCATCTGCGACTGCGATTACCAGTTATTTTGAGAAGCGGCAGCTGTAACACCTCGATCGCGTCTCGAAAAATGCTAAAAATTATTTGTTTAAGCTTATACTAGGTGTCATGAACAACAATGTATACCATTTTTATGAGACCTTATTAAAAGAATTAAGAAAATTCTTTAAGAGATAATTATAAATTTGTCATTCATTTATGGAATGTTTTTTTTTAATTTTATGGTTGCAACCACTTGATTTTATTATCGGAAAAAGCCCGAGCCAAAATATACCTTATTGATTATGTGGTTAGAATAAGTAAGGGTAGTAAAACATTTAACAGGAATTTAATTAGGTAATGTATGCGTTATTGTACTAATTTGTTGATGCACAGATAGTATATAGCGGACCCTCCGATTGTGGAATGAACTCCCTGCTGTTGTTTTCCCAGTGGGCTACAACATGAGGTTCTTCAAGAGGGGAGTGAATAGGTTTCTTAAGGGTCGGCAAGACGCATGTAATGCCCCAAGTGTTGCAGGCGTACTAGGCCACGGTAACCGCTTACCATCAGGTGGGCCGTGTGCTTTTTTGTCACCGCCGTGGTATAAAAAAAAGCATATTAAAAACTATATAAGACTACAAATTATCCAAAAGGGATGCAGTTTCAATCTTCAGAATTCAGGTGCTCATTGCTCATTCTCTTTTACTTTTTATCTAATTTCACGTGTCCCGATGTTTTTATAATACTAAGTAGGTACCTGAATTCCGATATATCTTTTGCTACCATAGGTACTGACACCATATTCCGAAGTTTGAGTTTTATCAACTCAAGAATTAAGTTCAGGATCGCTTACTCAGCTCTCACGTAAATTATTTTACAGAACTATAATTGCAGGCTTAGATGAATTAACAACTACCTACGTACATACGTAACACGTCTTAGATAACTTTACAACCGTTGTGTTAGCTAAGATAGATAATGTAATTATATTATATATCATTATACCTCTAATTATGGCCACCTCGCAAACTGTCGCGGGGAAAACCTGTAATTATAAAAATGTTATAGCTTTAAAACTAATTACCTAATGTATAAGTATATAAATATCTTCAAAAGGCGCCTAGCTTTTTGGGGAAAAATAATTAGGAGTGTAGGATTTTTACCTCACTAAAACCTCCCCGGTGGCCACCATTTGCACCTGAAGGAGTTACCGGATCCTCCTATTAGACCAGTTCCGGAACCCCATGCTGCAACGCCTTTTAAGGCACCTCTCTGTGAACACCTGTGTTATCCTAGAACCTCTCTGTGTAGTGTACGGGGGCATGTAACCACTGTGCCGCCGTCTTCCTTGAGGTCATTAGGTGGGCGCCTAGATTCCCAACTCTATGGAGCATGATCCCAATTTCCCACAGAGTTACCTATTGATATTGTAGGCAGGGTATCAACACGTTAGGCGCGACGCCTTCCACGGGCGGGATCGGCCGTCTTATGATCCCGCTCAGAAGCCTCCACTGTTTCACAAAACGTCTCTTCTCTCCAGTTTTCTGCGTCTACCAGCATAGCCGTAAACACTGCTGGTAGAGACAGGTTTCACCCGATCTTGGCAACCAGGACCCGTCGCTCAGTGGAAGGGCTTAGACGTATATTTACGTACTTAAAATAACTTTTAAGGGATTAATAACATCATTGCTCGAAGGATTGTTCTTACCAGTTGGTTCACGTAAAATATTTACATTCAATTAAAGAAACTAATTAAGAAGACGTTTAGAAGATTAATGTTTTAATATTTTGTACAATATATTAATTACAGATCCAGAGACTCTGGGAGAGTTAGTAGAAAAGAAATTAGGAGCTCCACAGGAAAGAAAGAGTGAGACAGCATGGAAACATTTCAGTAAGTTACTTTGTAACTCCATTATATACCTTATTTCCGATGTTTAGGGACTAGTTTTGTATGAAGAAATTTTGTGGATTTTCATAAGAAAATTGTAGACCTTTCATTTCAAATTGCGACCTTTCATTTCAAAGTTTACGTTACGTTTACTAGAGAGTTCATATAGAAAAGGTGACATAGTTGCTTTTCTGGTTTTAATAACTTTAATCTTTAATTGGATCAAGTACCTATGTGGTTGCAATTATAACTGCTGAGTATTCAGGACTTGGCTTTGAACATTTGACATCGACAAACCTTTAATTATTTGTCAAGTTTGTCATGTAATCGTGCTTAATGTTTGACTGTAGTTTGTTCAAATCTTATTCAATTACTTGTCTTTTAATAAAATGTAGCCAAGAAAAGCAATTGTTAAGCAAGATCCTGAAGTTTTCATACCACAATGTTTTTGATAAACGGAAATTGTGTATAAACGTGCTATAATAAACCTTATTTCTTTCACAGAAAAGTCGAAATCTTCAAAGCGTGCTCTGATGATGGTACTGATAATAATGGCTCTATCAATCATGATGGGTTGTGTCGTACTTCAAGTGTATGCCGAGCCGCTGTTCAAGGAAGCTGCTCCATCGATGCCGTCCAATCAATGTGCCATCTTCTTAGCTTTAGACTTCTTAATAGCTAGTGTGTTGTGTGTACTGGCTATTGATAGATTTGGAAGGAAGGTGAGACTCAATTTTGATTTATGTGTACTTACTAATTTACGTATCTGTATACTTTTCAAAGTTAAAATCTATCTACTCTAAGTGTAGGAAAGCCATGCTTCGGCACGAATGGGCCGGCTCGACCGGAGTGATACCACGGCCTCACAGAAAACCGATGTGAAACAACGCTTGCGTTGTATTACGTCGTGTGAGTGATGTTACCGGAGGCCCAATAATCAGTTTCCCCAATCCCCGAATCCCCAACAATCCGCAAATTCTAGTGAATGTCTTTTGTTTTTTCTATCAACGATCCTATTTAAGCTGTAAGTGCATCGTCATAGATACACACAAAAGCCTATAATTGCCCACTGCTGAGCAAAGCTTCTTTTCACGGAGAAGGTTTTAAACATTAATCACCACGCTTGCTAAATGCGGGTTTGGCAATTTCATTGTAATTACAAATTATAAGTCTGGATTTCGTCACGATATTTGCCTTCACCGTTTGTCAGTGGTGTCTAAAGAATCTTGAAAGGGCGTACGATTTTCAAGTTGGACAATTATCAATCGTCTTTTGATCACTTATTCAATCTTCTGTTACATATTGCTTATAACATAAAACAAAGAATATTAGGAATTATAGCTAATGTAAAGTAAAGTAAAAGACTAAACACTACAATTTTACCAATACCACCAGTATTTTAGGAGTATACAAAAACTACTTTCTGCTTCGCCCGCCTTTCCGTAGGATAAAAACCGGCTTACGCCAGCCTATGTGTTAATCCAGACCATATTATATTCTTGAAAATTTTAATCCCGATCTCTTTCAGCCGTTTTCACGTGATTGATTAACAAAATACACAAACATATAAACTAACAAACATCTATAATATTAGTAAGATATACTTCTCATCATAATAATCTTCTTCTGTTCTCCCCAGTTCCTCCTGATTGTGACCGCTACTGGCTCAGGTGTCTGCACAGTACTACTGGGAGCACAGTTGCAGTTCCACTGGGCTCCAGCCTGGTTCACCGTGCTACTTATATACGGGTTCAGCTTCATATTTACACTGGGATGTGCTGTCATACCATTTGTATTGACTGCTGAAGTGTTCTTGCCAGAGGTACTGTATGATGTTTTATTAGATTAGGTACTTTGCATTGATCCTGATGATTCCCTTTTTTAGTTCTGTATATATTTGCAAAATCTGGTCAAATATGTGGAAAACAAACATGTCCTCGGCAGAGAAGAATGCTGTGAAATGAATCAAAGTACAAAATGATTTAACCGTATATTTCAGTATTTTGTTAATTAGGGTAATTTTCGAAAAGCGGACCAAGGATCTTCTCTATTCAATGTTTTCTGTTACTTTACGAATTAATATCGAAACTAGTCGTTAAATTATTTTTATAGACATATGAAAAACGGTTCAGGGGATTTTTGCACTCAGTAGACTCCTAATTAATCCAGAATTCCAGAAGAATCTCTGAAACAGAATGACTAAATCTCTAGGTATATTTACAAAATTAACATCAAAACTAGTCTAGCAGCACTTTTTATACCATTGCATTACAATATGAGCTACCTCCTCATATAGTTCAATCAATAAGCCATCTCCTCCACATTCCAGGTCAGAAGCTTCTGCAACAGCATCGTGATGGCGTTCACATGGATCTTCAACTTCCTCACGCTGGTCATCTTCCACCCCTTAGTAGAAGCTGTTGGCTTAGGACCAGTATTCTACTTCTTCTCCGTAGTCTGTTTCACTGGGGCTATATACAGCCAGTTCTGCGTCCCAGAGACTAAAGGATTATCAGCTGATGCCATTCAGCTTCTCTTCTTGAAACAGAGAAGACAGAGTATTAAGAAATGAGAGTGTGTTGAACATTTTAGTTGTAGGCAATGTTGGAACCAACCGTTGTTGGTTGTGTGATATTTTTTTAAAGTGTGAATTAAATTGTTATTTATTATTGTTGTTAGTTTTTGTTTTATTATTATTTTTAGACACGACCTTTCCTCCCATAATTATGCATAACTTTTTTGATGTTCCTAAAAGTCCTTATGACTTTTTATTGCCCTTAAAAGTATGTTTTGAGATAAATCTTTTATCAGACTTATTAAAAATAGTTTTTATTGTGGAAAAGGTTGTAAAATGATAAATACTAATTCTTTAAATTAAACTACTAAGCTGTTGAAGATGTTTAATTAAATTATCATTTTATTAGACAATCTCAGTCGGTGAATCATCCGCTCAAACTGACATTTAATCTCATAACAAACAAGACGTGCTTCAACTACGTTATTGGGAAATCTTGTAGTTTTAAAAATCAAATAGGACGAATAATATAAAAGGACAAATAATGGAAAACGTCAATAATTCAAAACAAAACACATCTGCACAATTATTATCATCGTATAAGCCACAAAACTGCTGAACATATTAAATTGCTTAACAAATTATAACATGTATTTATAGGATTCCATCAATGATTACCATGTAAATGATGATGAGAAAAATAAATAAATATTTCAAAAAAAAGAATGGTTGGAAGAGGTATACATACAACTACCGCATTTTCTTTTTTTAAAAATAAACCTACTAAAGTAATAATTACTTTAGTATGTGAACCAATGGACTAAGTATAGAAAGGGCATTCGCATGACTATAAAAGGAACTTAAAATAGCAAGTACACTGATTGAACGTAATTATTATATTATCATCTAAGTTGCTTTGAGTCTGCAAATATAATGCTTTATCATAGATTTACGAGTATGGGCACATTACTGTGATGTCGTAAAGTTATCTGATAGGAAAGATTGCGCTGTTACTGTCTAAGCATAAATGGAATGGATGATTTTTTACGGAATGCATTAGATTAAAAAAATAACTTAAAAGTTTATAATATGTCTTAAAAATGGATTTCATTCGACTTATAAAATAACTGACGATATCTGGGGATATTTATATCGTTTACTGTAAAGAAGACTTTAAGTCTTTAATCTAAGTTTATTTTTCCTATTTATTTCTCAAATGGATAAACTACGAAGTCACACGTTGTATTTAATTGATATTGAAGTAAGTTGCCTGTTTTGGTTGGCTAAAATTTTGGGACCAAGAATAGCTCCTTGAGTAACTCTATTGTTAGCAATTAATTTTAACAGTAGATAGAAAAAATATATAGTTCACTGAGTAAAAAAGTCTTAAGGACTTTAATATGTAGACAAACTTTAACAAGTAACATAAATTGATATTTCAGTTTATTTTGAAAAGTAGGATAAATTTATAGTTAACCATATCAAAAGCTTTAGAAGGAACCTAGAAGACATAGACGTTGCTATGGAATGGTACTGTAAGATAGGTCCTAAAAAATAATGTAACATATTATGGCTTCAATGAATGGCCTCATTAATAGCGTTTCAGGGAAGCCTTCTACTGACCATGACCATGAGAAAACTAAATTGTATGGGACTACTTTATTAGGAATGAATATATTTGTTCTAACTTATGTGTTTTTCTTGTGACGATACATGCTCGAGTGATAAGTGAAATGCGTTTGAAATGCTACCTTCAAAGTTTTGTTAGTAAATTAGACAACATGTTTTGGACTAAAAGTTTTTGAAACAGTTGAAATGGTAGTAGTGAAAATAAACAAAAAGTTCCTTTGACTGCACGTTAGTGCGGTGGTACGTGTAGTGCGTGCGCGACGTTGTTGTTTGTGCGTTGTTTTTGGTCTGGGTGTCATGTGTATGTGGACTTGTATGTTTGTAAACGTACCCACGACACAGGAGAAAAACCTAGTGTGAGACCACGCCTTTTTGTTAAATACTAGAATGTAATGATGACAGTGTTGTACACATTTCAGGCGTATTAGATTTGTCTACAGTATGAATCTAGAAATTACTAGAACTATTACGTATACAACCTAAAAGCTCAAGGAATCATTGAAAAATATGACGATCCTGTGGCTTATCTCGATAATGACCCACGTCATAGAATTAAGTTAACATTACGTAGATTACTGCACAGATATCATTACGAAGCAGAACTAGATTAGTCGTTTTTAGTTATAGCCGTTTATAGCGATAATTGAATTGATCCAATAGTGTTTTTATAGGCTATAAATGTGTAGCAAAAACAATGTGTTTGATAAAGAAAATATTAGTTTGTCATTTATTTTCTATTGGAAAACTGAACATTTGTTTGAGTCGTGTTTAAAGACTGTGATTGAAGAAAATTCTTAGCTTTGAAATGAGTGTGACAAACTCAATGGACTAAGGGACAAAAACTTTCATCTATTTGGATATAAACTCTCCAACAGTGACCAATCGTAAAATGAATGTTTCCTTTTGGCAAAGTGCCACACGTATTAATTATTATCCTAATATTTTATCCCAATTAATAAAAATTCACATCCCACCAGTCATCTCCATCGCGAACAATACTCCTTTATTCTCGCTAAACAAACACATCACCTATAAAACACCCATTAGCAGTTGATAAAAACCTTTCCTGATAACGCTGAACAGTGTCGCTTAGTGCTTAAGTAACAACTATTATAATATTTTTATCATCTCGAAGTATGCCGCCAACCCTCTTATATTTACTGTGCAATAAAGCGTTATAGTATTTGCTTAAGGTTTCTCTAACTTCTTTATATTATTCAGTAATATCTTGTGTGAAGCCATTTGATTAACTGTGATAGTGCAAAATGGATGGTGACAGAGTATCTATGAGAGGATTTTTGGTCCAGGGTACGGCTACTTTGGCAAGTAAGTGCAATTTTTATTTTGTGTTTGTTACAAGAGATTTTTTATTAGATTTTATTACGTTTTAGGAATTGTGAAGATCCTAACAACTATGTAGATGATAATAAAATTATAGGATTATAGGATGTACATCAATTAAATTAAATGTGTTGTGAGTAATTATTAGAGTCCTCTGAGATTGCTCCCTTCCTCGAATTGTTAATTAGTCATAGCGTAATCAAAGAAAATGATCATTTAGGGTTTATCTAGACACAGTATGATAATAACATTAAAACGCTTCAAACAATTGTATAGGCAATTGGGTGTGATTGACCAGTAAGTTAGTTAGATCATTCAGACAAAACGTAAAAACCACATATTCACCTGGAAAAACAATCGTCTAAGTAGCTTTAGTGATTGAAATAGAAACTGCGTAATACAAACTCTTGATTTTTGGATTGAATCAAGAATTCTTGTTTCAATCACATTTAAGGATAATAATCAAGATTATGAATAAGAAAAGTAAATTGTACTAAAGGTTTATTTACCCTTTTAAAAGATTGAATTACATAGTACTTTGTGTCAATAAACTTGATAATGAGAAGTCTAACTTATATCTCAATGAACTCATATAATGGACGTTTGTACTTTACAGACCAGACTAAAGTTATATGTCATACTATAATAGACTCTAGCACAAGTGCTAAAACGTGCAAATTACTTCATTAGTTACTACTGATGGCATACGTTCGATGATTTACGAAGAGCGCAATTTATCTGAATGGCTCTATCAACGACTTTGTGCTTTATGATACGTGTCATTAAGTTTAATTTGTAATTTGATAAAAGCTAGACAGTATTTTCCTACGTTATATGATTGTTGTTTCTGGTATAAGTTAATCCAGTACTGTAATGTCTGGAAGACATTGATGTACGACTACTAGCTTTACATCGAAAATCTCAAGAAGGTCCAAATTTAAAATTGAGTTCCACATGCGTAACAAACCAAACTTTTGAACGTCAGTACCACTATATTAAAATTTAAATCTTATTCATTGCTACCGAAACTACAAGAATGATTATTTTTCAGTCTGCAAAGAATTTTTGGGTTTTCAATTTCGAAATCTTTATTTACCACATTATCCTAAATCCAACATGGGGACTACCCAGCTATAATTCCGTCAGAGTTACATGAAAACAGGCTAATTATATGATAATAGCATTACGAAAAGCCAATATAAGTATTAAGAATGCAAATAATTTTAAGTGTATCTAAGATTATGTCCCATAAGATACGAGACGAGGAATTTAATTTATCTGAGAAAACAACACGTGCTTGTGACTAATGCGAAGACACATGTACTTGTCGTCAGAACCATGTTCTCATAGAGATAGCTAAAGGGGTCGAATGCTCAGTTTTTGCCAAATTTTTGAGTTCCATAGAGGGCGTTACTAGCGAAAATGGATGCTCACGAGGAAAACCTCTGTTGTCTTGTAGTAAAACAAAACTGGGAGGGAAATCCCTGTAATATTAGGTTATCTAGAGGGAAAATTTAAACACTTATCATTATTATCTATTTCTAGTGTACTTCAATGTAGAGTGTATGTCAGAAGTAATAATAAAGGCAAATAGAAAAAAACAATTGAAGTAGAAATTGCGACGCCACTTTTGAGCCATTTTAGGAAAAATAAACGATTATACTCAATAGTATTTAATTCATGCTGCCTCGTTGGGCAAGTGCGACTGCCGGGCAATGGGTTTCGGGTTCGATTCCCAGGTCGGGCAAAGTTTACTGGGTTTATTCAAAAAATCTAAGTATTAGCACGGAGTCTGGAATTGTGCCCGGCAATATGCTTACCCCGTATTACATGAGACTCACAATATAAATGGTGAAAAGTGGGTGTTACATTGTACAGTGGCATTAAATGCCGTCATGTATGTACACATACTCTGCCTACCCCTATCGGGGATAAAAGGCGTGATGTTATATGTTATATATAATATTTAATTCATAAAATTAGTGGGAAAGGATTTAATTCATCTAATGGTACTCCTGTTACAGATATCATAGCAATCTGTTCAGCAACAATTGCATTGAATTTCCTGATAGGCGCAGTTAAGTTTTTTTTATTTTAGTTAGTATAAGTTTTGTAATTAACTAAGTTATGTTTGTATAGGAAATAAAAGAAATGAGCAATTCTCGCCCGCCATCAAACTGTGAACTTTGGCGAGCTTAGGTGCATCCATGTTAAAGTCTGTTTTCAAAGCCAAATTACAACGAAACTTAAGTTGCTATTATCAATTCTGCACATTTATTTTTCCATCAATTATCTAAATAACAGAAAATCACGCATTTTATCCCCGAAAGGGTAAGTAGAGGTGCACATTACGCCACATAATGCTACTGTACAGTGTATATAACACCTACTTTTCACTATTTATGTTCTGAGTCTCATGTAATAGGGGTTAGTCTATTGCCATATACCGGGTATAAATCCAGACTCCATGCTAATACTGAGAAATTTTTCAAAAAACTCGACTTTTATTTTGCCCGACCCGGGAATCGAGCCCGAGACAACAGCATTGCAATCGAACACGTGAAGCCACCGGCTCGGCTAACGAGGCAGCAATAAACTAATTCTGCATATAACATTCTTAACCCTTAATTTGGCATAGAAAAAAATGTGATAAAAACTGTTTTTTTTTTATTAAAAAATTAATAAACACATCTAAAACTGTTACAAAAAAATTTCAGAAAAAATCTGAAAAGCTTGCTTTTCCTGAAAACTCATGTATGCCACAACATACACTGCCAACTTCTCAAGACTACATACTGTAAATGTGTGGTATGTAGGGACATACATTACCAATTACTAGGCTTCTTAAGTATTTAAAACAAAAACACCATTATTATATAAATAAATGTTTATTAGTGCAAAAAGGAATTTAAATTACCAAAATTACGTTGGTACGTGGTATTGCAGTTGACAATTACGAGAATTTTTACCAGTAACAAAACAGAGTCGGACTTGGCACTTCAGGCATTGTACAACAGTTAGTTTGGAGCACAGTCGACATCGTCCTTGGGTGGTCATGGTCATAAAATGACCAACGTTATCATACCGTGATGTTTCCGCAGGACTAGCTTGTGGCACTCGTTTTTTCGTGCCTTTGATACCATTTTCGGAACGTTGGTATTTTGTTAGACCCTCGTACAACTCGAATCTAAAGTCCTTCAGAGGCATAGATTTTGACTTTGAATCCTTTCTGTGGAGAAGCCATGCGTTATTTATGCATATATCCAGGAGTTGGGCAAATATGCCAATATACCATCTCCTTGTCTTGAACGGTGTTCTATATAAAGATATAAGCATATCGGCCAAGTCAACCCCTCCCATGTGCTTGTTGTACTCCTTCACTATTTGCGGACATTGAACGTCAACTTTAGTTTTAGAGTCCTTGCAGTACCTTTTTATTGTACCTACTGGTTCAACGCCTACATAGGAACTTATCAATGTCACTGCTTTGTTATCATGCCAACGTACTACGGCCAGGCGGTTTTTGTTGCAAGTGGCTTGAGCATGACTACCCCGGGGTTTCTTCTTCATTTCTTTTTCTGAAGGCAGACTTGCTTCTGCACCTCGCAACCTGTTGTTTCTGATGGTTCCCAGTCCAAAGATCCCATACTCTTCTCTAAGTATGTAAAATAACTCTGGGCAGCTAAAAAAGTTGTCACAGAATACAAAAGCTGGTTTAGATTTTATAGTTTTGCACAAAGCGATCACCACTTGCGCTCCAAATCCGATAGAGGCTTCTTGTTCGCTAAAAGTATGGAATCTAAATGTATCCTCTCCTCCATACAAGATGAAATCATAGATCATGCCAGACACTCCAGCGCGTACATAGTTTTTAATTCCCACTTATTTGGTTTGTCTTTCATGTATTGACGACGCTTGCCCGCTTTTGTCCCTTTATATGGGATCATCATCTCATCAATACTAAACCTCCTCTCATTTTCTTGAGCTAAACAATTTTCTCTTATTTTTTGCACCAACGGCCTAATTTTATAATATCTATCAGAATCTTCGATATTGTTGTCAACGAAATGTAAATAGCGACGTATCTGTTGATAGCGTTTTAGTGGCATCAGATCAGCCACTAGTTTGTACCTGTATCGCAAACTCCAATAATCAGTGTAAGATGGCATGCTCACCACACCCATTATGATATGTATAGCTATAAAGTCTCGTAATTCGTCTTCAGTCAAACCTAGTGTACGTCCAGTTTTAGATACTGCATAAGCATTTGATTGTTCCAGAATGTGTGTCAAAATATCAGGAGAAAAAAACTTATAGAAATATTCCAGGGGGGTTTGGATAGTGGCGTCGCCTATAGAATCCGATTCCTCTTCCATAGTAGCCAAATGACGAAACACAGCTTTTTTCCAACGATAGCTCAGAGTGAACTTTTGAATTCGTCTAGGTCGTTGAGCAACACTAATAGTAGAACGTTGTGATCTTGTTCTTCTGGAAAAAAGTGATGTGGAGGTGGCATTCGCTGGCATGCGTGGTGTTTCCAAACCAAAAGATGCAGAGCGTGCAAGAAGTGAAGCTGTTGCAGAATTTGTGGGAGTAGCAGGAGTTACAGGTGACGCAGGTGTTGCGGGAAATGATGGGATGTCACTCAATATTGGTACTTTATTACAATTCGGTTCTAGAGATGGGCTCGAATAAACAGTTTGGAAAATGGGTGTAAGGCGAACATTGTCGTTAGTGGGTTCTTGTTCATCATTAAAAAGGTTTAGTCTTTCTAAGGAGCTTTCAATTGAGGGTGCAGAAGAACTGGACATAGAAAGCGGAGCGTGCTCAGGTATCTCATCTTCAATATCGGAAGGTTCACTATCGTCAGAAGGTGCATTATGAGCAGGGACAAGCGCTAAAATTCTACCACCCCGAGTTTCAAGCTTTTGCTGCAGACAAAGAAAAAGAAATGCTAAAACATAAAGTAAGCAAAGCATATCCCCAGAACTGGCAATGTATGCCATGACATACAAATTGTTTTAGGGGTATTTTACTGCAAACTTGGCAATGTATGTCACAGCATACTTCATGTTAGTACCCAAAATAAAACCATTTCAAGACGTAAAAACTTCAAACTTATTATTGAAATTATATTAGCATAATATCAAGCATAGAATTCAGTCATTTAATTTTTCCTAAACCTTATATTAATTTATAAAATAATATAAATACCTTGGAGAGAACAGCAGCCGGCCGCCGGGTCGCCATTTTCTTCCACTAATGTCAAAATAAGTGTTGCCAGGTATCTGTTTTATATTTCCCACCAAAAATAGTTAGTGTTGCAAGTGGGTAAAAAAATAAATCTACGTCATTTTATTATTTCCTTTAACAATATATTTTTTCAAAGTTGATGTATGTTGGGGCATACTATGTCAATTTAAGGGTTAAAACAAGTACATACCTATTTTAATACTATTTTTCTCTACTTTCCAGTATCGTACCTCACAACGCTAACCGGCTTGGTCTTCTCCTGGCCCTCCTACAATGTGGCCAACTTTATGTCCAATGACACCGTGCTATCAGCTCCTATGTCTTCCGTGGACGTGTCACTGCTGGGCAGCCTGACCAATGTAGGAGCCATGGTTGCTACACCATTCTCCGGGTACATTGTGAACAGGCTTGGACGGAAGTATAGTGCTATGCTATTTGGATTACCTTTTGTGGTGAGGATGCTTTTGTCGTTGGTATTTTTGATGCTATTGGTAGGATAGAATTTTTAAATAGTATTGGTAGCTTCAATTGGAAAATTGTCTTGCATTACATGTTTTTGATACCTTATTTCCTTAATCGAGTCTCTTAGTGATTGCCCAATCTGAAATAAAGAAATCCCTTAAAAATATTTGCTTTTTCTTTCCTCTTTTTTTTAAAAAACACGTTGTCCCACACTAGGATTTTCTCCTGTGTCGTGAGTGCGTTTACAAACATAATAAGTTCACATACATTTGACACCCAGACCTGGAACAACGATCTGTGGATCACACAAATAGTTGTTCCGTGCAGGAATCGGACCCACGTCACGTTGCGCGGCAGCCAGTTATCCCGCCACCGCGCCAATCGTGCTGTCTTATTAAGTTCGCTAACCCAAAATGTACATACCTTAATGTGGGATGACACATCCTTGAACCTTTTAGAGATTGTAGCTATCAGTTGTTGAAGTTGTAAGTTGTTTTAGTAATCCAATTGAAGTTTTTTTGATAATATTTACTACTATAATTGTCAGATTCTCAACCACAATACTTACTTCTACCATATTCTAATACATCTCATTCTCTCTTCCACAGCTCTCATGGACAATCATATCGTTATCCACATCGATACCAATGCTGCTTCTAGCGATGACATTAGCTGGTTTAGGAACAGCAGGACAAACAGTATCTTCAATATACATATCAGAAATATCACAGGATTCCATTCGGGGAGCCTTGATGTCTACCGTGGTATCTTCATATTTTATGGGAGTGCTGATATCGTATATATTCGGAGGATACTTGGATTATAATCTGATAGTATACCTTTTTTTGTCCATGTCAGTTCTGTATATACTGATGGTGGCTGTTTTGAAGGAGTCTCCTGTGTTTCTGATGCAGAGGGGGAAAGAGAAGGTGGGTGCAAGTTTTTGGTTATAATGTATTGTTAGCAAAGGATTCTACGTGCGATTTAGGTTGTTTGAAGTTCTCAATGCTAATTTTGTACGAATATCAGGATTAAAAATGTCCTACGCTATTTTCAAAAAGGTAACCAATTCTTTACTAAGTTTTTTTTTTCTATTTTTTCATATTTTTCTATTCTCAAACACCAAACAATATTAAAATATTTGACTGCACGGTTGGTTCGATTCCCGCACGGAGCAACTTTTTGTGTGATCTACGAATTTTTTGTTTCGGGTCTGAGTGCCATGTGTATGTAATGTATGTTTTTAAACGCACACACGACACAGGAGAACACCCGATGTGGGGCAACATTTAAAAAATATAAAACAAGGAATTTTTACAGACCCGAAACATAAACCTTGTGTGGACAAGGTTTGCAATTTGGCTCTCATCTATAAGTGTGGCCCCTATTGTAAACCTTTGTCTTATAATAAGTGTAGTGTATACGAATGTACCACTTCTTCTCCTCCTTAGTATATAGGTATTGAAGTAAAGTAATAAATAACAATATTAATAAATAATAATGTGTAACGAATAAGTAATAAATAATTTATTAATTGTTTACAATACGAATAAATTGTCTATCACCGACATTATCATGTAGTATTATCAATCGTGCCCTATAAATTATTAAACAGACTGGATGAAACTCAAAGCGTTCGATGTGAGAGATGTGTTGTTTATCATCATAATCATCATCAACAGCCTATAAATGCCCACTGCTGAGCAAAGCCTCTTCGCACACGGAGAATGTTTGAGCATTAACCACCACGTTTCCTCAAACTTATAATTAAAATAATTAGAAATTATAAGTCGAGGTTTCCTCACGATGTTTTCCTTCATCGTTTGTCAGTGGTGTATAATAATCTTACAAAGTACATATAACTCGGAAAAAGTCACATTGGTACGTGCCTTTGGTAGGCTTCGATGCCGCACCCTCATGCATGAGAAGCGGGCTTCTTGCCTCCGCTTCTAATGCATGAGAGTGCGGTTTGTTCGGTCTTATCACCGGGCCACCTCGACATACGATGTGTTATTAGTGCAGACGAAATCTAAGAGATGGCGGTACTAGTCTGTATCTTGCACTTGTTTGCAATATAGATAACATCTCTAGTTAACAGTCATTATAATTGAAATGATATGTAGAGTAAATAAAAAACATGCTTGTTATTGTACAAAAGCATATAAAAGAAATATTTATACTCCTATTATGTAATTCCAGACTTTACATTATCGCAAATTATTAATTGAACTTTGCATGGAGATCAAAGCATTGCAATATAACATAACATCACGCCTTTTCTCCTCGAAGGGGTAGGCTGAGGTGCACATTATGCCACTGTACAATGTAACACTCACTTTTCACTATTTATGTTATGAGCCCCATGTCTTTAATAGGGGGTGAGCCTATTGCCATATACCGGGCACAATTCCAGCATTGCAGTACTGGAAATAACATCATTATCGTCATTCTTAGCAACTGGAAGACGTTACAACTGGACATAGGCCTCCCCTTAGTCCTTGGGTAGTAGCATTAGCAACAACACCCACTTTTCACTGTTTATTTTATGAGTCCCATGTAATAGGGGGTGAGCCTATTGCCGTATACCGGGCACAATTCCAGAGTCCGTGCTACTACTGAGAAGTTTATATAAACCCAGTAATACTTTGCCCGATCCGGGAAGTGAAACTGAGACCCCTTGCCCGGCAGTCGCACTTGCGACCACTCGGCCAACGAGACGGTAGCATTAACTATCAATAAAATTTCAACTCTGCCAATAAAACACGATGTTACTAACAGTATTCTACAATATTTCAGGAAGCCGCAGAGTCTATAGCATTCTATCGTCAAGTGAAATCGACATCCAAAGAAGTAGAAGTTGAAATATCTAAAATTAAACTTCTACTAGACCCGAGACTGGAGAAGATATTAGAAGGAGACGCAGGTAAAATATTTTTTATGTAATTTCGCTTGGTATAAAAAAATTTAATCAAGAAGTCCATCTTATTATAATGCCACTTACCGAAAGAAGAAAGATATTTAAGTGTGTGTTTAACAAGATTCAATTTTTACCATAACCTGGGGACTTATTCTTGAATCCAATTCCGATCGACACATTGGTATTGTGAAATTACGTACTCTTGAGTTGCAATACTAGCGCCTTTTGTCTCCGTATTGCGCGGATATTTAACTCGTCGAGTACCGTATTTATAGACACAATTAAAGAACAATAGGTTGCGGTCACCGGTGACCGCTTGGTGTTTGACAGTTTAATGAACTAAATGGTTTTTATAATAACTATCGTGAGACATACTAAATTAAGTAAAATCGCGGGTTACTCACGTGAATATACTGAGAAAAGCTCTACTAGTTTCGAACCACAGAGGGGTTCTTCCTCATGAGCTGCGCGACGTCGCCGCGACCGCGCACGCTGCTACGTGATAAACAAAATCTATATACATAATCATGTTTTATTTTAAGCTTTATTTCTATATTTAAACTTTGAACATATTATGCGGGTGTCGCAGGATATGATCAAAGGGGGAGGTGATTAGTCATATACCGTGGCCCCGACATGGGGCAGTAGTAAGAAAGAGGTAGTTATTAGTCAATAGGGTCTGATACTCCTAGGTCATTTTATGAATTTCTATCCTCATAGAAATGTCTCCCTAGTTACGTCACGAGTCATGTTGGTTACCTGCATAATATGATAGCATGTCTTTTATCATCATGTGTACATTACGGCACTTATTGCCACTAGACAATGTATCATCCACTTTTCACTATTTATGGGTCCCATGTAATAGGGGGTGAGTCTATTGCCATATACCGGGCACAATTCCAGACTCCGTGCAACTAAAAAGGTTTTTTAAAACGCAGTACTTGCGACCACTCGGTGAATGAGGCAGTAAAATATAAAGCTTTGCTTTACACACACACATACACATTAATACAGACTCGAACGTCTGTCTCAGGTTACGTCGGTACCCCCATATGATGCAAGAAGCATTTGTTTAACTATTTGTTCGAATCACAAGGAGAACGTATTTGATATTTTTAGCTTATGTTTGTGTTCCATTATCGTAAAGTTAAATAAGTCTGCAATTATTTGTATTAAATGATAGTGAAAATTGCGACTCCTTGTTTAAAAACACGTTTGTTGTTCGTGGGACGGAGTGGCTCGTGGTTAAAGAAGTATTTATGTAGATGCACTGAACACTGTACCTGGTAATTGGGCCTCCGATAACCTCACTCACGTGACATGAAACACAACGGTTCGGTTGTTTCACGTCGGTTTACTGCGAGGCCGTGGTATCACTCCGGTCAAGCCGGCCCGTTCGTACCGAAGCATGACTCTCCCACACCGACATTTATAAAACGTTGCCTCAGAGGAAGGAAGACTTTACACTTACAGATACAGAAAATAGAATTTACAGAAATAGGTACATGAAAGTGGTGTGTATGGTAGAGCTAGAGTGGTGATTAATGTTCATTCCTTCTGCGAGCGCGAAGAGTTGTGTTCAGCGGTGGTATAATAACAGAGACCTATATGTCATGGGACACGCTGGTCACTAACTTAATTACTATGTTTTCGGCTTATTCACAAAACTGTCGAAGAACTTGACTAGTTTCAAGCCATGCTAGAGGCGCATATTCATGAGCAGCATTCCGCTATTCGCGACGCGGCGACTGTCGCGCTGCTACTGGCTGCTCGACACAGTTACGTGAGTAAGCCGAAAACATAATAATTAATTTAGTCTCTTATGTCTCACGAAAGTTATAATATAAACACGCTAGTTACTAATTAGGATAATAAAGTAACTGATGTGTTAGTTTATAAGTTAAATTAATGTTATTTAATGTCTAGTTTTCAGCAATAAAGGCTATATATACTTATATAATAACTGATGATAATAGCGATGATGTATAATTGAGATGGGATTTGTCAAATGTTAATTAAAACTAGTAATGATAAGACAGTCTGTCCCCTTCGTTGACGTCATAAATTATGTCTAGTTAATACCATTGATAACTCGTGGAAACTTTATTGTAGTACTTGTAAAAATTGCTATTGTGACGTTCATCGTAGTGATTTTAGCACGGGTTTAAAATAGCATTGATGAGTCGAAGGTTCTATTAGTTCAAGCGAATCTGTCATAAATTATATGAATATCGCCTTTACATTATTTTATTGATTAAAGCCCGAATACTGAAAGGCTAAGGCTGCTTACCATCAGTTAAGTGTGGGAGCCATGCTTCGGCATGAATGTTAGACGAGTGGAGGAGTGTCAGACTCTTACTGATTAAAAACCACCCCGTTCCTACTCCTGCACTTCGAGCCGGAGCCCCAGTAACCCGTTAAGTTCTCCGCGGCTCCGTATCAGCACCAGCCCTATTGGGCCTCATCCGTAGTGGTCTGATGGCTCCCATGCTCGCCGTCTGCAGGCCCGCGCTTACGGTGGTCGGGGATCGTCCCGCGATCCCCGACGCCCGGAGTGTCCTTCGCGATGGCTGGGTTGTAAGGAGGCAGCGCTTCGCTGCCTCATGCGCCCCGCCTCCTCCTTAGCTAGCATGACTGCTTCGCAAAAGGAGACGGCATTTCAGCCCCCCTCGCTCCACATCATGACCCGCATTAGGTCCGGACGCGAGAGGTCGAGGTGCTCAGCCCAAGCCCCTGCTTGGGCTATGGGGAATGCCCTCATTCCCCTACTGTGTGTTCCACCACATTAGCGCCCCTAGAGATGCAAAATTTCGTCCTAAATATTTTCTAATAGAGTCTTTTCATATTTTCTTATATCAACGCAAATCGCATATAATTTCCGACGTCTTTGCTCCTGTTTGGTCTATCATTATTTGTTCGGTTAAGTATTTGAACCGTAGGTCCTTTGTTTAAGACAATCAGTACATACGGTGTGGGTAATTAAATATATCTGAATGATCATTATTATTGACCTAGATTTTCTATTTCCGTGACGTCAATAACCCATAATTGTATGTATTTAAGAACACAATAGAATGAAACAAATAGAATTTGGTGACATACCTTTATGACAGACTATGATTGAAAATGGCTTTCGTAACAATGACATTATAAAGTTGATATTTGCATATGGAGTTTGTCAAATGCATTTGATTTCATTTGTTTAGACATGTTAGGAAAATGGGAGGTGAAGGCACACCTTCGATGATTGTAATTGCATCACTGTATGGGAATTTCCAAAGAAAACTTTACAAGTTATGAAGTATCTGTTATTTGTTTATTAATGAGACAAAATGAATGTATGAGATTGGCACTGAAAACGTTAATTTATGTCAAAATTTACGTTAAATCTGTGTTTCATAGATTTTTTTTTATTTAACTATCTAAAGAGAATTTCACTTACAGCGAACTTGGTTTTAGGGTTTTTAATTTCATAAGCCTTTTATCCTCGAAGGGGTAGGCAGAGGTGCACATTACTGGGACACTTAATGCCACTGTACAATGTAACTCCCAATTTTCACTATTTATGTTATAAGTCCCATGTAATAGGCCTATTGCCATATACCGGGCACAATTCTGGACTCCGTGCTACTACTGAGAATTTTATTAAAACCCCACTAATACTTTGCCCGACCCGGGAATCGAAACCGAGACTCCTTGCCCGGCAGTTGCACTTGCGACCACTTGGCCAACGAGGCAGTCTATCGTAACGTAATCTTTCGAATGTCACATAGTATATAAAATAAAGTCGCTACCCGCCGTCTGTCTGTCTCTATGTGTGCTTAGATCTTTAAAACTACGCAACGGATTTTCATGCAGTTTTTTTTTATTAGATAGAGTGAAAGGTTTATATGTATAACACATGCATATTGCACCCGTGTGAAGTCGGGGCTGGTCACTAGTTTACTATAACTTAACAGTATTTTTTGTTTTTTTTTTTAGATCCAGCGATTACGAAAGAGCTGATTAACTCCACGCCGCCGGTGCAAAAGTTGTCAGAATGGCAGTTCTTGAGTGAGTTTTTCTTTTATTTTATTTTTTTTCTTATATATTAGATTTCTTATTCTCCACGGACTCTTGTCCGTGCCCGTGTCGTTCAATTACATTTCTTTTTATTTTACAGTCAAAATTAATTGTTACAAAAATCTTATGTGCTACATTAACCACATTATTATTCTTTTTTTATTCTTTATTTTATTTTAATACTAGCTTTTACCCGCGGCTTCGCTCGCGTCACAAAAGAACAAAAAGTAGCCTATGTGACATATACCAATACACACAGCGCCATCTATACCAATACTTTTGTTTTTCCTCGGGAATATCAATTTTTTCCGGGTTAAAAAGTACCCTATTATCTCTATTTAATCCGGACTTCTAACTTTACGTCTGCAAAAATTCAAAGCAATCGGTTAAGTAGTTACGGCGTGAAGGTGGAACAAACAAACTCACTTTCAGATTTATAACATTATAATGCATGCCTTTTATCCCAGAAGGAGTAGGTAGAGGTGCACATTGCGGCTCTTAATGCCACTGTTCAATGTTACACTCACTTTATTCTTTTTAATGAGTATGAAATAAATTTGTTTTCAATTTTTTTTTTAATCTGACTTGTTCGATGTTTAACAAAATCCTCAAAAAATGGAACCTTGAAAAGTAACGACAGAATGTAGACTTTATCTTTATTGGAATAGAGTGCATCTTCCACTTGTGTACCGATAACATCGTGGGCAGAACAGAACACGACCTGGGTCCAATAACTTGTTAGATAGTGACATCGAAGTATTCAATAAATACTAAGTTGTAAAGTATCCTCGAAGTCTTAGATACTTGAATTGATTACATGGTTGTTGGATAAATTCTTTCTCCCTCAGTTAAATTGATATAGTTATAATTCATTGATTTTGGCTGCCTCGTTGGCCGAGTGGTCGCAAGTGCGACTGCCGAGCAAGGGGTCTCGGGTTCGATTCCCGGGTCGGGCAAAGTATTATTGGGTATTTTTTCAAAAAATCTCAGTAGTAGCACGGAGTCTGAAATTGTGCCCGGTAAATGGCAATAGGCTCAACCCCTATTACATGGGACTCATAACATAAATAGTGAAAAGTGGGTGTTACATTGTACAGTGGCATTAAGTACCGTAATGTACACTTCTGCCTACCCCTTCGGGGATAAAAGGCGTGATGCTTTATAATCTTAGTATAGATAACTATAATTTTCTTTTTTTTCTTCTACAGAACAATCACAAACTTCAATCCGAGCACTAATGACAAGTCTAGCATGTATGGCAACAATGATATTGATGGGGAACATTGCGTTTCAAGTATACGCAGAGACATTGTTCAGGGAAGCAGTGCCGTCAATGGACTCCAACCAATGTTCTATCTTCTTAGCGATAGATCTGTTGCTAGCGAGCGTACTGTGCACGTTTGCTATTGATAAATTTGGGAGGAAGGTAAATCTTTTTTTTATTGCATAAGTCGGTAAACGAGCAGACGGATCACCTGATGGTAAGCCATCGGCGTCGCCCATGGACACCTGGAACACCAGAGGCGTTACAAGTGTGTTACCTTTTGGGAATTGGAAATTTGAGGATTGTAGGGGGATAACTACGAGGTAGGGAGGGTAATTGGGCTTCCGGTTATCTCACTCACACGATGAAACACAACACAAGCGCTATAGCTGTCACTCCGGTCGAGCCCGTCCATTTGTAGCGAAGTATAGCTCTCCCATACACATTATTGTCTAATTCCAAAATAAACCATAGCATTTTGTTATTATTTATTCACCAAATTCACGATGTATTAAAAGTCTTAGAGATACCATTCGCATAAACACGAACTGTTTCTTACAGCCCTTGATGATCAGTACATCAGTGCTCGCCAGTGTCTGCACAATGCTGCTCGGTACGCAAATCCAATGGCACTGGGCTCCGCACTGGTTCACTGCTCTCATCATCTACGTGTACAGCTTCATCTTCAACTTTGGAGTCGCTGTTATTCCATTTGTGTTAAGTGCTGAGCTGTTCTTGCCTGAAGTAAGTTCTGTACCTTTGTTACCAATTTAGGAAATGCGAAATCAATTTTAAAAATATTTTGCACATAGCAGGTGTTTCCAATCAGATTATAGTTTGCTTGAAAGCACATACAGTAACTCTGTAGGTTACTTACTCATTTTAAGAAAAAAATCTTCATTTATTTATTTAGCTACAGGTTTTTCTAAGTAGAAAAGTAATACGGATATTTTCTAAATTGTATCATAAGCTATTAGAAACAGAAGTTATAAGATTTCTTCGTATTTGCGAAATTAACTTAAGGCTGATTTCTGTCGGAGTCACTGTTCCGTATGTTCCTAGTTTTACAACATCTATTGGACGAGTTGCAACAAATATTTGACCTCCTTTAACATCCCCCATTTTTCCAGGTACGAGGACTATGTGGCGGCATCGTGATGACTTGTGGCTGGGCCATGAACTTCGTCACTGTCCTCATCTTCACTCCAGTTGTTGAAGAAGTCGGGTTCGCTCCTCTATTCTACGCTTTCTCCGTAGTAGGATTTGTTGGGGCTGCCTACTGTGTCTTCTATCTTCCTGAGACCAAAGGACTGTCAATAGATGCCATCCAAGCTTTATTTGTTAAGAAAACTAAGAGGAAAATTGATGCTTGATAAAAGACTTATTAATTGTACTCGATGTAGTTAAAAGCAGTTTGCTCTTTAACATGTTAGTCGGTTTTATCTTGTAGCTATTATGAGTCTATTATATCTTCTATAAATAATATAAAAATGAATCGCTAAATGTGTCGTTAAGGGTAAATGTTGAGGACAGCTGAACCGATTTCGCTAATTCTTATTGTGTTGGGTTAGCTATTGTTAGGTGAAGGTTCCTATGTACGAAAAAAATAACAAAGATGTGCAGATAATGGGGTAGACGACTAATTTTTATTTTAATGTCCGTCTGGTAGATTATTTAAAAACATTAGACACGTATTTTTTATATTCTCACAGAAACGAATAGTTTCGAAGATATATTGGTTTGAAATGTCGCGTGACGTCACTTCTCAGTACATTTTATACTAAGTAATGACGTTTTAGCCCCCACTCCTAAACTTTGATTCGTTTTATCTGAGTATTGTTTTATTATACGACAAAATAAAAAAATACGTGTCTAATATTTTTTCATTACCTAACTTACGGACTAATTAGATTTTTAATTTTCATACCCTGTCATCATCCCCATTGTCAGGGAGAAACAATGATCGCGGGGTCCAAAGTTGTGAAAAAAATAGGCTTATTTTAAATTTAGAGATTTTTATTCGCATTTGAAGACTATTTGCGTTTTGGAACTGATTTTTTTTTGGGTGTACACCACACCTTGTTGGTAATAAATCGATTTGAAATTACTGAATGAAACTAAAAACGTTTATAATATTTTGTAACAACAAAATTATGCACCACGTGCCGACAAACTAAACACAGGAGCTTTGTATGAAATTAATGTTTCGTGAATTTTTGGTTCACTCATAAATAAAGTATGAGCTCGAATATGAGTTCAAAGAACTTTTTATTCCGGTTAAAGAACTTCTACTGTGATAAGGTTGATTTTCTTAAAGCACACGTTATAGATAATGTTTAACAAATATTAAAAAATAGTGATAAGGTAGGCATTTGGTTTAAAGAAGAAAATGTAATGTTTTTTTTAGGAACAAGATATGTTTGTCATTGTGATATTAGAAAAAACTGCAATCACGTGGAACCTCTGGGGTACTTACAGTGATAGTAACGGTCGTCTACGAAAATGATGCTTGGGACATGAAATATAATATTTTAAACATAATAACATTCCTTCATCACTTCTTTAGAATAAAGATCCTGATACTCCAACAGGATTTACAGCATTTTTTGTTTATAAAATTCAATCAATATTTATTATTTATAAAAAATCTCAGCATATCAATCAATATTTTTAACGTAGGAAAAATATTCCAAATGACAAAATGTTTACAACGGCAAGATGTAAAGCCGGGCTGCATGCATATTAAATAGGAATCAAAATTCATAACCATGCGCTGGAACAAAGAAAATCGATGAAAACACAATTATTGCTAGTGGTCCGTTGACCAACCCTTAATTGGGGGCAGAACAAATGTTTTAGCAGAATTATTATTATTCCTAATTTGAGAAATAGGATAGGTTTGATCAATAAAAGCTTGCTTAGTTAGTACATTACATGAATAAAGTGCATTAGCTTATGTTTCTTCCCATCCACATATATTTTTGAATGTATGTCAAAGTCATAACATTTATTTCATTAATTAGGCACTTTTGAAACGTCAAAAATTGAATTGTCCGTCCGTCTGTCCGTCAGTGAAGTTATGCGCTCGTTCCAAAGTGCAGTTTCGAATAGAGAAGAACGAGCAAGAAATACCAATGTTTCTCTTTTAAAACAATGTGTTTTACAAATTAACTCATACCTTTGTCCTACAAAACGTACTAATGCTCTGTAGTTTTTGCCTATGTAACAAAATAGTTAGTAGCTCAAGACTACAATACTGTATTAATCAATTTAGTTTTGATTGCATATAAATATAAGAAAATAATTTTAAGTAGTCATAAAATTTTATATAATACTCTAACTATATTTTATAGATTATAAGAATAATTGTTTATATTTTTTTAGCATCGGGCCCAGGATGCTTCCTTGGGGAACACTTTTACTTTATCGATATCAACGTCATAATATTTGTAAATTTAGTCAACTATTTGGATTAACTATTGTTTAAGTTCTTAGAATAAGGAGATCTGATAAATAAATAACAATTTACTAGTTGTTTAGAAATTTGTGTATGATTAATTTATTTTTCCCGTTTTTGTCATGTATCGCTTGACTTGACTTTCTGATTCAGTTTTGTTTGAGCGTACTATTTATTTTTTATTTCAGTGGGCTTAATTCAAGTTTATTTTACCGCATTCGTATCGATTAGTCGGTTCATTGGAGCAGGCCAATCAGAGAAATCAAACTCATACTGACCCCTCTGCACTAATTTTGTTAAATGAAATTCCTAAAACGTCAAGCTTTACAGTTTATCTTTATCATGAAGTTTATTTTGGTTTATTTCGTAATTTCTGGTTTGTCAAAACTTGACCCAAATTGCGGGTAACATACATTAACATTACATTCATTCAAGTACATTCCCCGTATCCACAACGATTCTAAAATTTATAATCGCCAAAATGACGACAAGGCATTTTTTTTTAAGGGGGATAATCATCGAATGGCTGCTCCCACCTGGGTGAGGCGGGATCCCTCCCGCCAGTGTAAGATTCTTACTGACTAAAAACCACCCCGTTCCTTCTCCTGCACGTTGAGCCGGAGCCCCGGTTACCCGTTAGGTTCTCGACATGACAACGCATATGTAACGCCTCTGGTGTTCATGGGTAGCGCCGATTGCTTACCATCAGGTGATCCGTCTGCTTGTTTGCCGGATTATTCCATAAAAAAACATTGTATTAAAAATGGTCATGGAAATGTCATTTGAAAATAGTAACAATAGGTCGAGCAGGTATGACGGCAAATATAAACAAACAATAAAATTATATGCCGTCAAAGCTCACATAAGACTGTTGATAGCTGTTATTCAAATAAAACTGATTCACGCATAAGTAGCTACTGTATCTTGCCCATCAGACTTACTTACGTGTAACTTGTTACTAAGACATTTGACAGAAATATTTGGAGAAAAATCACAGGCCAAATCACACTATTATTTACTGTATGTTGGTGAAACATGAATTATGATAACAGAAGAAGTACGAAAGATAAAGCATACTTTCTCTGCATCATCCAAAAGGTTGACTGATGAGAGTACATTAGGCATTAAGTCCACCCATGTGATTTTGTGGAATGAGGATAAAATAAATGAATAATAACGGAAGCCTTGAGAAATAGCAATCAAAATGAGAAAAGGAAAACAAAATTGCAACTGAGAAAATAATTTAAGATTTTTTTTTACGTTATAATAGGCAAACGAGCAGACGGGTGCCAGATGGTGAGCGATCAGCGCCACCCATGGACACCCACACCAGAGGAGTCACAACCACAGGTGCGTTGCCGGCCTTTTAAAAAGAAATACGCGCTTTTCTTGAAGGTTTGAAGGTCGTATCGGTTCGGAAATACCGCCGACGACAGATCATTCTACAGTTTTGCTGTGCGAGGCAAAAAGCATCGTCAGAAGCGCACAGTTGTGGCCTGCCAACCATGTATATGATGCGAATGCATATGCTGTCGTGAGGGTCGATGGCGAAAAGATGCGGCAGGTATCAGGTCAAACAATTCCTCAGGGCACTCCTCGTGGTATAAGCGATAGAAAATGCATGAAAATGCAATTTAGGCATACAAGTAGACTAAATATAATTCTTTTATAAACTACGTTTAAAAAAACAAAAATAAAAATCAGTTTAGCCAATCGCGAGATAATCGCGCACGATCATAAATACGTACATACATACAGGTCAAACTGAAAACTTCATTTTCTTTCTTCTTGAAGTCGGATAAAAATCTTGTACAAATTCAAATTCGATACATTTTACCCAAGACGACAGGCGTAATGAAATATATGGACCATATAGGTTGCACACTCGTTCCTAAAATATTATAATAATAAAATTGAATTGCACTTCTGATATTTCTTTGTGTTGACCAAAATGCCTATTGAAACAAAAGAATTGAAGTATTTTTTATTTTTAGCAGTAACTATAAAGTAATAAAAATGTATAACATCGCATTACTGAATACATAATTTGCTGAGTTTCATTAAGTTTCTTCTATGAATTTTAAAACTAAATATCTCAGTAAGACTTACGGACTCAGGTACTCCATGCTTCTGGTTCACTAGTCGCTTTAAGAATTCATAAGGTACTCATACATAAACTTACAAACAGATGAATTTGTATGACGTGGTGCCTTGTCAGAGAATGGATTAAAAATAATAATACTGAATGAAAGGAAACAAAAGAAAAAGTTACCATAGATCTTAAAGCTGGCCATTATAATTATTGTCAAATGCTTCTAACCCATGCTTGATACAATTTCAATATCTAGGGAAACGGCAATAAACTGAAAAGTCACGATGGAAATTCATTAAATTTTAAAATAAATGACATAAAACGAAAAGGAAAAAAAAATCTAAAAATAAATATTTTAACAAAAATGTTGACTTAAAGAGATCCCTAATTAATATAAACGGAGAGTCACACGAATATTTTCGCTACACAAATGATAAGGATGACAGACTTATCGTTAGATAAAATATTTACACGCGACTTTTGTTTACACATCTTTGTGTATTCTAATTCATTTATGTAATGAAACTATTTGCCGAAATGTTACTATTACTTGAACGTGAACTGACGATACTCGTTAGTTGTAAGTGAATCAACATGAGCAAAGGAAGACTGAGGCAGGTCCATGCGGCATTCGCCGGTAAGAAAAGAAAAATTGTTTGTTACCGCGAATTTCAATTCGGTATAAAAAATCTCGGTTGAGATAAAATAATATAGATTTTCTGGCCATTTTATGGTAGAACGTGTTTGCTAGGAGACGTGTGTACTGATTTTCAATTATTTGTGGGAAGTGTGTGTGATGTGTTGTTTATTGAGGTCAGTGTAGTTGTAGTTTGTAAGGTCATGTTGATTTTGGAAGAAGAATTATTAATATTAATGACAGAAATGATGGTGAAGATAAAAAAGAAATCACAAAAGAAGTGAAAGATTTCACAATAATGGTTGATGATTAAAATCAATGTATTCAAGATGGAAATTCAAATACCAACAGCCAAATAACGGTTAAAGAGTTGTAAGGATTAACAGAATGAAATTAATAATAAATAATTAGAAGTTATAAGTTGCGAAACAATTTGTAAAACTGATATAAATAATGGGGGTGATATGGAATTTTATATTAAGGTAGGAATATCTGTGATAATATTGAATTTCATTAATTAACTTCTGGATATATAGAACTGTATTGACGTGTAATTATTTCTTTTGTAAATAAAGCTGTCTAATGTATCCACGTGTGAAAACTGTGATTATTTTTAAAAACTTAAATACAAAACTTAGAAATTAGTCTTCTAAGAGCATTGAAATTTTCAAAAAGAAGTTTTTTTAAAAGGGACTCATAAACATTGGGACCACTATACAAATTATTTTGTTAAAGGACACTAGACATTGTTGTATCTATTTCATTTGTATTTATATTTCTTTTCATCATGGTAAGCTGTACGAGCAGCCAGTCACCCAGGTAGAGATGTTTATATTGGCGCTGTCTGACTTTCAAAAGTGCATTTTTATCTAATGTTTCGACTGTTTTACCCGGTGACTTCTAGATCTACATCTAATCAGACAAAAGCAATAAATCTTAAAAATTATCAACATAGAACGTCACTACTGCCACGTTGTCATTCCTCATTGCTTCGTTTATACATACAATTATTTGTTTTATTTGTTCTAGTTTGTTTCCAGCTACATCATATTCGAATGCTTAGAATTAAATAATTAATAATGATATAATTGATAAATATATTGTTGGTGTGTTCTCTTTATCATGCAGTGACGGATGTCTGTTTTGGCCCGGTTTGATAGTCAAAACAGCTGGCACTGACGCGTACAGCGTAATAATTATCGTTATCAAAAATCATCCTCTCTTCAATTAAATTAAAATAAAGAATGTAAATAAGTTTGCATGGTCGTCTGCTTTACGTAGTCTTTGTTCACCAAATCTTGCGCTTCACCAAACCAAGTAAAAATTGGTACATTTGGGACAATTTAGAGAAATATACTATGTGCTAGACAGTTGATTTTCTATTAACAGAAATTAGTTGCAGTCAGTCCAATTGGCTTGTACCTATTACTTAGATTAACAAAAATCTCTATTTACTTGATAAAAGATTATACCGTCGAAAAATAAGTTTGTAACTTTGACTATATCTACCCTATCTATCTCAATTTCAGGTGGGTTTGGGTCCCTAGTGATGGGGGCCCTGAACGTGTGGCCATCATACACATCGGAGTTATACTCTTCAAACACGACCACACCATTATCAGCTCCTATGACAAAGGGTGAAGAAGCCATGTTAGGTAGTCTACCTTCGTTAGGTGCTATGGTGGGTACAGCCATCGCTGGTACATTAATCAATTCTTTGGGAAGGAGAAACGGTGGTGTGATTTTGTCTTTACCGTTCGTGGTGAGTAGTTTGTCCGTTTTGTAAAAGTCTTAAACTCTTTGAAGGAGGAAATCATTGATTGAGTCATCATAAAAGTAACTTCTGCGTAAAATTAGATTGAATCCCCAAGTCTAAATTAGCAAAAATGTAAATTAAACCCGGAGTTTACAACGGTATCCAATTCCCTATTATGAAACTTTTGGAAAAAAAAAATATAAAAGAAAATAGGGAAAGTCTTCGTTCAGCATAAGAAGTCTTCCGATTGATGACGATGACGAAGATAGTTCAACTAAATCGAACCATGAACTTTCTCATAATATTGAAGATAAATCTATTTTGTTTGCAGCTATCATGGGCAGTAGTATCAGTAACATCTTCAATAAACCTGATCTTAGCAGCGAGGTTCTTTGCGGGAGTTGCTGGAGGTGGCTTCTTGGTGTTAGCACCGATCTTCACATCAGAAGTAGCTGAAGATTCTATAAGAGGAGCACTAGCCTCAGGTGAGGGTATACTTAAACTTACGGTAAAGGCACCTTACCTTCTTTACCATAAGTAAAGTAAGTAAGCACTATAGTGTACACTATAGTGAAAAAATGGCCTAAAAACGTTAGTTTTTTTACAACGCCAGTAATAAGTACTACGTACCGGCCTATCTGGAAGTCATTGGGGGAGGCCTATGTTTAGCAGACAAGTGGACGTCTTGTGGCTGATGATGATGACAATAAGTAATAACAAATTATAATACAGCATTTTTTATACATTTGATTTGGGCCGACGTTTGACCACTATCTCGCCTGGTGGTAAGCGATGATGCGGTCTACGATAGAACACGTCGTCCTTTAAGGCACCTATTCACTTGAGCCTTGAAGGCATTAAATGAAGGAAGAAGAAATCTAAATATGCCTTTAAATAGACTTGAAATAGTGTGACCATCATGTGACTTGAAATAGAGATTGATATTCAGATACTTTGCTTTTAACTTGACATAAAATAAGTATTTAAGCATGAGTGGCATTATAATACGGTTTCTGTCCTAAGTAAGATAAAAATTGATGCACGTATGTATGACCTGACTGTATTTTAAATCCCAAAAATATATTTTAATCATTCAGATTCTAACTCCATGTGTGCGTAATATTTTTATCACGAATGATAGTGCATCATATCAGTACACAGAGATATAGTTTCAGCTGAAGTTAGAATGAAAGATTTATCTGATACGAAATCTTTTACACATAGTGCTTATGCAACTGTTAGAGATGAGAAAGAACCTTGACCCAATTCTTATGAAAATTCTATCTCAAATGTTCATATTTTTGGGACTTTGGTGTTTTTTTCAACTATTCGTTCGACTTTAGAGTCCGATATCCGATATATCAATTAAGCTTTGAATCATAAACACCGATTTATATTAACTTCAATGGTGAAAATCAATTACCTAATACTCAGCCTGACTGCGATATTAGCATCTTATAACCGATAGTTAAAATGACGAAATCATCCATCATACTTCCAAATCATCTATCAGTCTTTGGTATTATTAGCCGACCGCAGGAAGGGAAGGTATTATATTTGTTTTTTTATTGGACAAGTTGGTAAACGAGCATACGGATAACCAGATGGTAAGTAATCGGCACCGCCCATGGACAATAGAAACACCAGAGGCGTTACAAGTTTGTTACCGGCCTTGTACTAAGAATTTGACGATTGTTGGGGATGCAGGGATTCAGGAGAATGGGGAGAGGGACTAATTGGGCCTTCGGTGACGTCACTCACACGATGATACACAACGCAAGTGTTATTTGTGAGGTCGTGGTATCACTCCGGTTGAGCCGGCCCATTCGTGCCGAAGCATGGCTCTCCCACACTTAATTAAACCCTTATTTAATTTTAGCCATAGGTCCGTCAGTTTAGTTTGTATAATGTTCTGAAAATTGCAAAACCATTGGTATTAGCGCTATCTCGTGACCATAAAGTCGTCAGTATTATCTCTTTTTTATGGATTAATGTTAAGTTTTAGTGACAAAGTTAGAAGAACTTGAAAGATAATATTTTTCTTTATTTACTTTAGTATTTTTTTGTTTCATTAGTTTTAGTTAATAGTTAAGTTTGTGTATGCTCTCTTTTTGGTTTTGTTTTGTCTTGTTTTAAGTTAGTAATTAAATTAGTAAGTACATAGATTTAGTTTTAGACCTAAACTATCGCTGTAAGGTTTTAAATAAATAAATAAATCTTTTTCTTCTATTTCAGCATCAATTTATTTATACTGCCTGGGAACTCTGATGTCGTACGTCGTCGGCTGGTTCCTAACATATAGAACAATAATCTGGCTGCAGCTAATACTCAGTATTGTATGCACTGTCCTCATATTGTTGGTTGTGGAGAGCCCCGTATATTTGTTAAAGAAGAATAGAGAAGAGGTGAGTTAGATCTATAGTATTTTTTTTTATGGGATAAACCGGTAAACGAGCAAACGGATCACCTGATGGTAAGCAATCGGCGTCGCCCATGGACACCTGGAACACCAGAGGCGTTACAAGTGCATTACCGGCCTTTTGGGGATTAGGAGTTTGAGGATCGTTGGGGATTTAGGAATTGGGGAGATTGGGGAAGGGGAGGGTAATTGGGCCTCCGGTAACCTGACTCATACGACGAAACACAACGCAAACTTGCTTTAAGTCGGTTTTCTGTGAAGCCGTGGTATCACTCCAGCCGGCCCATTCGTGCCGAAGCATGGCTCTCCCAGACTAGTATGTTAGGAAAGAAAATAGATTGACGGAAGTGTGGTCGGTAGATATTTTTTTAACATGTTATGTTATGTCTGAATAATGATTGAACAACTAATAATAATCCTTAGATACAGCTAACAAATACCCAAACGCTAAAGTCAAAGTCAAAGCATTTATTTCAATTAAACCATAGTTTGGTACTTTTGAGACGTCAACAAATACAAAATAAATAATAGTCTGTCAGTCAGTCCGTCAGTGAAACTAGGTGAAGCTAGGTGCTCATTCCAAAAAGTAGATTCGAATGGAGAAGAACGAGCAAGAAACTCTATTCGTTACTCTTTTTAAAAAAGTATGTTCTACAATGTCTCTGATACATATTTCAATACTGTACGCATATGTAAGAACAATGCAAAGACATGCTTGACGAATTATATTAAAAACATACTAAAATTAAAAAAAAAAATCTTGAAGTCCAACATGGTGCTCACATATGCATACCTACTGACAATCCATAGAATTAGTGCTTCTATACAAGAAAAGGAAGTTTCTCGATGCCATAAGGAAACTAGATTGTCTACATTAGAATTAAAGTGTTAAATTATGTATTAATGCTAATTTCAGGATGCAAAAGAAGCGATTGCAAAGTACAGGTCGGTGTCTTCTACCTCTATGGTGGTGCTGGATGAGCTGTCCCGGCTGAAGCACCAGATCATGCCAGCAGTGGAACTTGTGTCAGTAACTGGTATGTTTGTTTTCCTATAATGATATTTTCTGATTTAATAACCAACGTCAAAAAAATTAAGGAGAAGACTTCAAAAAAGAGGGGGATTGAAGTCGATTTTATAAAAAGCAGTTTATAAAACACATTACGTCACATAACATCACGCTGTTTATCCCAAAGAGGTAGGCAGAGGTGCACATACGGCACTTAATGCCACTGTACAATTTGTTTTAAAACCAGTAAATATTTGCCCGACCCGGGAATGGAACCCGAGAACACTCGCCCAGCAGTAGCACTTGCGACCACTCGGCCAACGAGGCAATCAATAATTGATACTTTAACAATTAATACTTTACTTGTGAAATTTAATTTAAGTATCCAATTTAATATTTTTTCAGAAGTAGACCCGAAGGCTGAAGAGGCTGAAAAACAAAAATTAAATAATGAAGATATTCACGAAACAAAGAAAATGTCGCCATTAAAAATTTTATGTAAGTTTATGATGGATAATTAAAATAATGAAGGTTGTTTCACTAACTAATAGGTTTTTGTCTATTAAATTGGCCATTTTGCTTACATTATAATATTGCGTAATATTATATTAGGTACGTAGGTATTCATTATGTCTTTTGTTTTGTTCATTATATTAATATTTTTGACCACTTAAAGATACGAAATCCTTAAGTAAATCGTGGATGTATTCCAGACTTATCTAGTGGGTACTTTGTATTACACACAGATTTAAATTTAACATAACATAACATAACATCACGTCTTTTATCCCCGAAGGGGTAGGTAGAGGTGCACATTACGGCACTTAATGCCACTGTACAATGTAACACCCACTTTTTATTATTTATGTTATGAGTCCCATGTAATAGGAGGTGAGCCTATTGCCATATATAAGGCACAATTCTAGGCTCCGTGTTACGACTGAGATTTTTTGAAGAAGTTTGAAGTCGGTTTTTTAAGCATAGTTTTTAAAAGAATTATTATGTTGTTTTGTTGATATTGTTAGTTAATATCATGATTTGTATTTCCAGTTGTGGCAGCAGCATCAAGACGTGCCTTCATGGTGGTTACCATTGCGATCACACTACAGGTGAAAAACTCAACATATTTTTTTGCTTTGGTTTTTAATGCGCCTTCGTTTTTTTAATAAAAAAAGCACACGGCCCACCTGATGGTAAGCGGTTACCGTGGCCTATGTACGCCTGCAACACTTGGGGCATTACATGCGTCTTGCCGACCCTTAATAAACCTACTTACTCCTTTTTTGAAGAACCTCATATTGTAGCCCACCGGGAAAACCTTGGCAGGGAGTTCATTCCACAAGCAGAGGGTCCGTGGAAAGAAATTCCTGTATAATCGAACTGTATAGGACCATTTGGGCTTCAATATGTGATTGTGAACTAAATAGCAATACGCCATCGACAGGGAGTTCATCCTGTTTGGCCCTTAGAAATCATAATTTAATAACTAAAAAGTTTTTGTCTTCTTAATACATAAACATAATATTACACCTTTTTATCCTTTAATGCCACTGTACAATGTAGCACTCACTTTTCACTATTTATGTTACGAGTGCCGTATAATAGTAGGTGAGCCTATTGCCATATATCGGGCGCAATTCTAGGCTTCGTGTGACTACTGAGTTTTTTTTCAAAAATCCTGTAATACTTTGACGGACCTGGATATCAAACCCGAGGTGCTTTACCCGGCAGTCACACCTGTGACCATTTGGCCAACGAGGAAACCTTAACGAAGCGAATAGCGTTCTTTTATAGCCCATACGTCTCTATACCAACTTTACGGTGGAGAACGACCATGTAATAATGTGACGTAACACTGATTATTTCTTAATAGCACAATAATTTTCCAGGTCTTCATGGGTATAGTTCCAGTGCAAGTGTACGCAAAGACAGTGTTCACTCAGACCGACCCAACCAAGTCAGATCTGTACACCGTGCTCTTTGCTGTCATCCAGTTCTGTGGAGCTATGACTTCAGCTCTTGTTGCTGACAAAGCCGGTAGACGGGTAAGACAATTTTTTACTTAACATAATAACATCACGCCTATTATCGCTGAAGAGGTAGGCAGAGACGCACGTTACGGTACTTAATGCCACTGCACAATGTAACACCCATTTTTCACGATTTATTTTATGAGTCCTATGTAATAAGGGGTGAGCCTTTTGCCATATACCGGGCACAATTTCAGACTCCGTGCTTCTACTGAGATTTTTTTTAAAACCCAGCCATACTTTGACCGTCCTGGAAATCGAACCCGATACCCCTTGCCCGGCAGTCGCACTTGCGACTCGGCCAACAAGACAGTCGCAGCAGCAGTTTCATTTATAAGAATTTATTTGTTTTTCTCCTTTCAGGTCCTAATAATATCATCATCAATCCTGGTCAGTCTCTGTATGGCTGGTCTGGGCTTCCTCCTGCAATCAAAGACAGCTCCTGCATGGGTCACAGTGGTGTTACTCATGGCGTACTGCTTCTCATTCCTGATTGGAGCTGGTACCATACCTTATGTGTTGCTAGCTGAGGTCTTTGAATCTGAGGTGAGGATTATTTTAATATTATGTCTAAGTATAAGTAATTTTGCTTTAATGCAAGGGGTGCTCATCTATATTTCAATTTCCTCCTGTGTCGTGGGTGCGTTTATAAAAACACAAGTTCACATACACATTTTTTTATGGCATAAGCCGGTAAACGAGCAGACGGATCACCTGATGGTAAGCAATCGGCGTCGCCCATGGACACCAGGAACACCAGAGGCGTTGCAAGTGCGTTACCGGCCTTTTGAGGATTAGGAGTTTGAGGATCGTTGGGGATTCAAGGATTGGGGAGATTGGGGAAGGGGAGGGTACTTGGGCCTCCGGTAACCTCACTCACACGATGAAACACAACGCAAGCGTTGCTTCACGTCGGTTTTATGTGAGGCCGTGGTATCACTATGGTCGAGCCGGCCCATTCGTGCCGAAGCATGGCTCTACCACACATCACACCGGAACAACTATCTGTGGATCACACAAAGAGTTGTTCTATTCGGAACACGAACCCGCGACACGTTGCGGAGCAGCAAGTTGCCCAGCCACCGCACCAATCGTGCAGTCATTAGACAGATTATACTTACCTCTAAAATTTATTAAGCACTGAACTGTCTAAAGCCAAGGTTGAGCGTGGTAAAATCACTCTTACTCTTGGTCGTTTCAGATTTAGTAAATCAAATTAATTTTGGTTCAGATAACTTTTGTTAAGTATAATTGTAAGTAAGTATATGTTGGTATAAGCAAAGAAGAAAAACATTAGCGTACTGTACTGATTAATAATTTTACATAATTACATTCTTCGAATATTGGTTTCCAAGACGCTAATACACCTTCCTCTTTTCCTTCTCTTTATCCCCAGGTCCAAGGCATAGCTTCAATGATAATCATAGAATGGGTGTGGTTCCTCAACTTCTTCATTCTGGGTGTCTTCCCATACATGATCAGCATTTTTGGCATCTACGGCTGTTTCTACGTGTTTGGGGCAGTAGCCCTTCTCAATGCTGTCCAGTCATTCATCTTAGTACCAGAAACTAAAGGATTATCTAACGCACAGATCCAGGATTTGTTTAGAATGCGAAAAAAGAATTAAATTTTTAGAACAAGGATTTTGTAGTTATTGTTTCTCGTTTTTGAGAATGTTTTAATAAGAAATTATTGTTTCAAGTATATTTTTAATTTATATATGTACAAAATTTCGTGGTGGCCCGGAGGTTTAAGACGCCCGCTTCTCATGCATGATGCTCCTCCCAACGGCAAGTACCAATGTGACTTTATTCGAGTTACATGTACTTTTAAGATTTTCTAGACACCACTGACAAACGGTGAAGGAAAACATCATGAGGAAACCTAAGCTTATAAATTCTAATTATAAGTTTGAAATTGCCAACCCGCATCAAGCAAGCGTGGCGATTAATGCTCAAACCTTCTCCGTGTGAGAAGAGGTCTTTGGTCAGCAGTAGGCACTTATAGGCTGCTGCTGATGATTGATGACTAAGGATTGATTGTGTTTCTCGTTTTCGAGAAGCTTTTTAAGTGTTTATTGATTTAAGTATATTTTATTCTTATACAGTCAAAGGTGAAAAGTTCACTGCTACCGTGAGTGATGTTCACACGGCAATGCGTGAGTAATTTCATATTAATGTGCATAAAAACGCGTGTGTACGCATAAACACACACGCGTACGCACACGGATAAAAATATGCGTGTGCATGTGTGTATAAGCTGCGTATAAGTTGCGCTGCAGCGCAACCGATAGTAGTCTTACGGTGGCAGTGGACTTTTGACGTTTGACCGACTAGACTTTTGAAGACGAATTGTTTTATGTATCAGTTTTATGGTACCAATATTTAACGATTAAAATTAGTAAATGAATATATTGTATTGACAAAGATTGTTAACAAAGTTGACGAAGTTTATCTATGAACTAATGATCATAATTTTGTAATTCGGATACATGAGGATTGATGTTGCTGCTTATTCACGTTTAAGGAGGTTGCTCGACCATTTTCAAGTCACAACAAGGGTTCACAATTATGTCCATATTCGCACAAAAAAAATGTTGTCCAAAATCAGTCGAGCTACGTTCTCTGATATGCATTTTAAAATATTTGCAGGTATATTATTAAATCAATGAATTTATTTCTATTATATTTTGTACTTAATATATGCATAAAAACTAAAGAAATACTTTATTGGTACTTTATAAGTACTTTTAGAGCAAAAATATAATAAGTAATAAGAATTCAATGTAATAAATATGTAATTATATTATTAAATTACGTATTGTCATATAATGTTATTTATTTCATTTAACCAGTTTGATACGATCTTTTAGACAGTTGACAGTAATCACGTTCAACGCTATGGGGGCTACGTATGGGCCAGATTGTGGAAGGGAAGGATTTGTTTTCAAGAGTTTTCTGTTGGTAGTCTAGGCTTTAAACTATACGATCGAGTGAATATAAATACCATGAAATTTGAATATAAATACCTTGAAATTCATACTGTAAAACCAAATCTAATACCTTTAAATATGTCGCGGAGCACCTAACGGGTAACCGAGGCTCCGGCTCGACGTGCAGGAGAAGGAACGGGGTGGTTTTTAGTCAGTAAGAGTTTGACATTCCCTCCCGCCTCACCCAGGCGGGAGCAGGCACTCGATGGTTTTCCCCCTTAAAAAAAAAATACCTTTAAATATGAATTGTACGGTTTACGTACATTGACTTGACTTAGCTGACAAAGTGAACTGTTAAATGTTCACTTGTCGTCGCTTATATAGAGGTACATATTGTACACTCAGTTCATATACACTCGGTGTGCAACTTACTAACACGGGAAACGAACATACTTGTAGGAGTCGCTACCTTGTATTATGGTGTACTAAATTGTAATCTTATACTTTACTATATAAAGCGGACGAGTTTGTTTTTTTATTTGTTTATTTGAACGCGCTAATCTCCGTAACTACAAGTCTGATTGGAATAATTATTTTTGTGTCAGATAGCGCATTTATCGAGGATGGCTATAGGCTATAAAACATCACGCTACGACCAATAGGGGCTGAGCAGAGCGTGTGAAACCGCGCGGAAATAGCTAGTAAATTATACTTTGGGATACTACGCTCAGAGTTTCACTGGTTGGACACACCCCATCAACTAACAAACAAATAAGGTGTACAGTGCAACGACTAATCTGCAGCATATATGTAGGTATAGCGTACATATTGAATCCGCCATCCTGGACTCCAAAGACTATTTTAACATTTGTATTCACAGGGATCCGGCAGCAATAAAACGATCTAGCTAGGTTTCATATTTAGAAAATGACGTTTATTAAAAAAAAACACCGAGCAAAGATTAGTCATACAGGTACTAATGTGAAAATGTTAAACCCATATATTGACAACACGGTTAGTGCGGTGGCTGGGCAACCGGCTGTCACGCAACGTATCGTGGGTTCGATTCCCGCACGGAGCAACTCTTTGTGTGATCCACAAATTGTTGTTCCGGGTCTGTGTATGTGATCTTGTATGTTTGTAAATGCATCCACGACACAGGAGAAAACACTAGTAACACATAACATAACACGCCTTTTATCCCCGAAGGGGTAGGCAGAGGTGTACATTATGCCACTGTACAATGTAACACCCACTTTTCACTATTTATGTTATGAGTCCCATGTAATAGGGGGTGAGCCTATTGCCATATACCGGGCACATATCCAGACTCCGTGCTACTACTGAGATTTTTAAAAATCCAGTAATACTTTGCCCGACCCGGGAATCGAACCCGAGACCCCTTGCCCGGAAGTCGCATTTGCAACTACTCGGCCAACGAGGCAGTCTAGTGTACAGCAAAAAAAGAAATTTACATTTCCATTCATTCATTCGACAAGAAGTGTCTGACGGGCCAGACTTACAATTTTCAAATAGAATATTGTTATAAGATAGGGATTACAAATTGTTGTTTTCATGGTTATGGTTTTATATTTTCTACTATACATAGACACCTGTAACGCTACGTCCTGCCTGAGCGATCTAGAAGCGAATGCGGAGCGGTGTGACGCGACGCGAAAACAAAAAACTGTCGAAACCTATTGGAACTGTCCTATGTGACAATGCGCATGCGGGATGCAGTACGGAGCGGCGCGAAATGACGCGGACGTGATCAGTTGATTTGATAATTTCGCGCGAACTGTCGTATTTGGATACGGTGATGTCATCTTTTTTATGGTTTTTATTTTTAAAGGGGGGAAAATCATCGAATGACTGCTCCCGCCTGGGTGAGGCGGAGGGGAGTGTCAGACTCTTACTGACTAAAAACCACCCCGTTCCTTCTCCTGCACGTCGAGCCGGAGCCCCGGTTACCCGTTAGGTTCTCCGCGACTCCGAATAACGACATTAGGTATAACTATACAAAAAGATGTCGCGGAGAACCTAACGGGTAACCGGGGCTCCGGCTCGACGTGCAGGAGAAGGAACGGGGTGGTTTTTAGTCAGTAAGAGTCTGACACTCCCCTCCGCCTCACCCAGGCGGGAGCAGTCATTCGATGATTTTCCCCCTTAAAAAAAAAAAAAACCTAATGTCGTTAAGTGCCCTAATGTGCACCTCTGCCTACTATTTCGGGGATAAAAGACGCGATGTTATGGTATGTTATGTATTATGTCGAAAACAAAAAAATGAAGCAAAACTTTTGACTGCACGGTTGCTGTGGTGGCTGGGCAACCAGCTGCCGTGCAACGTGTCGCGGTTTCGATTCCTCATCCCCGGTCTGGGTGTCATTGTGTATGTGAACTTGTATGTTTGTAAATACACCCACGATATAGGAGAAAATCCTAATGTGGGGCAACGTTTAAAAAAACCGATTTGCATGTACGCAGCCGTTGCGTCGCACCGTACCACATTGAATTCGCGTGTCACCGCTTCATAATCGCATTTGCTTATAGATCGCTCAAGCAGGACGCAGCGTAAGGCAAAGATAAAAGAGTAATCTCAGAAACAGTGTCATTTGTTAGATAGTGACATTATTTAATGTTTGTAATAGTTATTTGACTAACAAAAATATCTTATTCAAATAATAATTATGATAAATTGTCATAGGACAAAATTAAATATCATACATTTTTATTTTTAAATTATATGGCGTAATTTTGTTGCTGTCTTGGTAGTAAGTAACTATTAAAAAAAAGGGATAAATTAAAAAAAAATTAAGACTGCTTCGTTGGCCGAGTGGTCGCAAGTGCGATAACGGGCAAGGGGTCTTGGGTTCGGCTCACGGGTCGGGCAAAGTATTACTGTGTTTTAATTCGTCGAGTGCCGTATTTATAGACACAATTAAAGAACAATAGGTTGCGGTCACCGGTGACCGCTTGGTGTTTGACAGTTTAAAAAGAAATCTCAGTAGTAGCACGGCGTCTGTAAATGTGGCAATAGGCGCAGTGAAAAGTGGGTGTTACATCTGTGTGGACCTCTGCCTAACCCTTCGGGGATAAAAGGTGTGATGTTATGTTATAATAAAATTAAATTTTGATATGATATTTTTTAAGGATGTATCAGTCTTTTATTGTGATCATTGAAAAGTACCTATTTAATAAAATGATTATATTATATAGCGATCATTTTTCAGGTTTTGGTAAAGCATAAAAGAAAATGAAATCATGAGACACATTATTTTATAATAAACTAGCAACCCGCCCCGGCTTCGGACTGGTGCGTTATACATGTATTATACATATAAACCTTCCTTAAGAATCAATCTATTTATTTAAAACCATACACAAACTGCATCAAAATACGTTGCGTAGTTTTAAAGATCTAAGCATACATAGAGACAGCCGTCGGATAACGACTATGTTTTATACTATGTAGTGATGATAGAGGCGTGCGGAAAATAACAGACAAATTATTCAGAATACCATATTTTCTATAGTAAAAACAGATGATATAAAGTAAGAAAGAAAGAAAAAACATTTATTCAGCACCAGGCAAGATGCAGCATAAATAAAAGTTTTTTTTTTTATACTTTATAGGTTGACGTTTGACCACCATTTCGCCTGTAAAATAAATAAATAAGACTTTAAATATAACTAACTAGCTTCTGCCCGCGACTTGGTACGCGCAATCCCGATATTTCTCGTTCCCGTTCTTAATTTTCGGTAAAAAGTAAAAAAAAAAGAATTGGGTAAAAAGTATCCTATGTCCGTCTCTTGGTTCTAAGCTACCTCCCCACCAATTTTCACCCAAATCGATTTAGCCATTCTTGAGTTATAAATAGTGAAACTAACACGACTTTCTTTTATATATATAGATTAGACATTATGTAAAACAACCTCGCCAAAAAATTAAACCACGTCGAAAGAAACGTAAATCACCAAAAAAGCAAAAAAAAAACAAAAAATAAATACAAAAAAAAGAAACATGAACTTGACACTCGTTACCAGGAACTCAGACGATAAAAGAGCATTTTTTAAACAAAACACATAAAGCTTAGGTTTTATAGCGATGTTGCGTACATTGTACTGCGTAATGTCGACGATATCCACCTTTATTATGTTTGCCTAGTACAACGATCTCGTGACGTGTGTAACTGGAGACGTTTGGATAGCGTTTACTTGTGTTTGCGCGACTCTTATGGGATTATGCAAGGATTTTGTATTTTTTATTTAGGTGATAAAGTTTATTTTGGGTAAAAATAACTGTTTAATTAAGGTACTGGCTGGTTTAGTTAATTGCTGTTTTACATAACATAAAGGGTAGGCAGAGGTGCACATTATACCACTGTACAAAGTAACACCCAGTTTTCACTATTTATGTTATGAGTCCCATGTAATAGTGAGCCTATTGCCATATACCGGGCACAATTCCAGACTCCGTGCTACTACTGAGAATACTTAAAAACCAAGTAATAATTGCTGTTTTATTTTGTTATATTTGATGATGATGATACATTTTTGTACCTTTGGCTCCGTGGATCTAAAATGCGCAAGTAATGTAAAGCGCAAATAGTATAAAATGTGAAGGAGTACCTTCGTTAAAGGAATTCAGAATAAAAAAGTAAAAAACAGACAGACTTTAAAGGAAAGTAAAATAAACAAACATTAAGATAAAGGAAGATTAATTCACATTAAGATGTCTCCGTTAAAAATATGATTCACTAGATGTCACTCTGATTATCACAAACGCGACACCAGCGCCTCTAGCTGTGCAAATACGTATCTCCATGAAGATCATACTAATTGTTTAATAACTGCCTCTGTTTAAACACAAGTCGTTAACCGTGCAACTAATCTAGCAAACATATTTTAATTGATTTTAAACTGTAACGTTTTGCAATAAAATTGAAAATCTATTGAAGAAATTCCGACGGAAAACACGCTTTCGAAAAGCATCAAATTGTAGCTTAGTGCTTTGGCAAGATAATACGTCTGTTCACAGCAAGTTTAAATTTTAAATGAAACTCTCTCTCATTAGTATTTTAGAGTTTACAATCATTTGTGAAATATTTATATAACCAGAGCTACTAATTGAATATTTAATTAATTTATTGATTTTTTTTAAGGGGAAAAAATCATCGAGTGACTGCTCCCGAATCGAATCGATCATCGAATGGGTGAGGCGGGAGGGAGTGTCAGACTCTTACTGACTAAAAATCACCCCGTTCCTACTCCGACACTTCGAGCCGGAGCCCCGGCAACCCGTTAACTCCTCCTCGGCTCCGTATCAGCATCAGCCTTTTGGGCCCCATTTGTGGTGGGTCTGGGGCCTTAATATGCAGTTCTGTTGTGTTGTTGGTAGTGAAAGTTTGCTCGTTACTAATTCTTGTAATCCTATTATGTTTATAGTTCCTTTCTTAACAGCTGCCCAACTGCAACTCGGCAACTCGTTAACTTCTCCGCGGCTCCGTGATTTCAGCCCGGGTGAGGCGAGACCCCTTTCGCCATCGCCCATCGAAATTATTTCGATGATTTTCCCCTCTCAAAAAATTTAGCTTTCTTACATTAATGCAGATGAAAATTGATTTAGTAGTTTTGGAGATATACTCTGAAGTACAGTGAAAACGATGGATTGTGGATTTTGAGGTTTAATTTAGTACATGTATTGATAAAAATGACTGCCTCGTTGGCCGAGTGGTCGCAAGTGCCGGGCAAGGGGTCTCGGGTTCAATTCCCGGGTCGGGCAAAGTATTACAGAGTTTTTAAAAAAATCTCAGTAGTAGCACGGAGCCTAGAATTGTGCCCGGTATATGGCAATAGGCTCACCCCCTATTACATGGGACTCATAACATAAATAGTGAAAAGTGTGTGTTACATTGTACAGTGGCATAATGTGCACCTCTGCCTATACCTTCGGGGATAAAAGGCGTAATGTTAAGTATAGATAAAAAATATAAATACATGAACAAATAAGCGATCACAATTTATTATTGAAAACGGCAATATCATTTATTTTCTCTTAAAGACCAGTATAATTTGACCCCTTTCGAATCTAAAACAAGTACCATGCACTATGGTGCAGTCGTTCCATTTACCTGGTCATAAAGATTTACAATGGAACAAACAATGTTAGCCATGGCTGCATGCCACTGGCCCACTGCCCCGGTTTCGAATAATTTCACCTTTATTGAATGGTTTTGCATCTCTGTACTACATATGTGTTATGAACGCCTAGTACTTCGTATCAGTTTGTGGTTTTTTTTTATTTGGTTTGATTTGTGGTTTACCAATCTGCGTCATTGATCGATGATAGATTGTTGATTGTAGAACTGGGTCTAAAGGAACTGGGTTTAAAGCAAATCTTCTGGTTTATATCTGAGAAAAACGACTATCATTGAGTGTTTTGATTCGTGGAATTATAAATGGAGTCTGAAATTGCCTTCAGAAAGTTAGTAAAGTACCATTTTTGAATGGTTATTTTTTATATTTGATGGGCCAACGTTACGAACATTTTGTGACTTAAACGATGATGTTGATAGTAATGTGTCAAAACGCGCATCAAAGAGCCATCAGACCACCACGGATGGGGCCCAACAGGGCCGATGCCGATTCGGAGTCGCGGAGAACCTAACGGGTAACCGGGGCTCCGGCTCGACGTGCAGGTGAAGGAACGGGGTGGTTTTTAGTCAATAAGAGTCTGACAATCCCTCCCGCCTCACTGAGGCGGGAGCAGTTATTCGATGATTTTACCTTCTTAAAAAAAATGTGCCAAAATGTTTTTGAATCTCAATACATTTAGTTAGACGTAAGACGACTCCAACGAATGAAGTTTACAAAGAACGAATTTAAGATAGAAAATAGATTGACCCTTCACTTATACATAGCAGGTTGGTGTGTCATTAATAGATGCGCCTGATATTATCAAGTAGCAAGCACATTTTAGAAGATCGATTGCACTAACGATGTGGGTGGTGCTGCCAATAATTAAAATACTATTTTAAAGTAACATTTAGCACTTAAGTATACCTATTTTTATTTAGTTGCGTACAATAATAATAAAGGCTTTTATTCTATGCAATAATAAATAAAAAAATAAGTAACTACGTTAGGTTTGTTTCTTTGTTTTTCAATGGACCCCCTCAGGTGAAAGCCTCCTCCAAAGTGTTCCATTTGTCTCTATTTTTCGCGATTTCTATCCAACGTATTTTTTTTAAAGTAGACAGGTCACCTGATGGTAAGCAATCGGCGTCGCCCCTGGACACCTGGAACACCAGAGGTGTTACAAGTTCGTTACCGGCCTTTTGGGGATTAGGAGTTTGAGGATTGTTGAGGATTCGGGAATTGGGGACATTGGTGAAGGGGGAGGGAGCTGGGCCTCCAATAAAGTCACCCACACGACGAAACACAACGCAAGCGTTGCTTGCGTTGTGTTTTCCATCGTGTGTAATACTATATTTCATACAATAAGTTACATTTATTCAAATTCAAAATGAAACAGCCCGGTATATGGCAATAGGCTCACCCCCTATTACATGGGACTGACAACATAAATAGTGAAATGTGGGTATTATATTGTACAGTGGCATTAAACGCCTCTGCCTACCCCTACGGGGATTAAAGGTGTGATGTTATGTCAAAATGAAACAGGTTATTTTTTGTATTTAATAGGTCGACGTTTGGCCAATATCTCGCCAGGTGGTAAGTGATGGTGTGGCCTATTTTACTATGGATGCTAATTTAATTTCTCTAAAGTTTTTTCAACTCTATTAGGTAGATATAGTCCCTATTATAACTATGTATGGCATAATTATGCAGGTTTCAAAGTGATAAAAATATTTAAAATAAAACACCAAAATAACATAATTAAAACTAAACAATAATTTATTAAAACTAAATAACAGCTAGTACAACTGTGGCGCTTTTCTTTTGGACGTAAACCTTGACTGGATTTCTTCTACAGTCAGACCTTTGGTTTCTGGTAGGAAGAAGACACAGAATGAAGAACTTAAGAAGCAGATGACGGCAAATACGTAGAAGACGGGACCCCAGCCAAGGGTCTTGAGGAGAGGGTTGAAGATGAAGAGGATCACGAAGTTGCAGAGCCACACGTACTCCACCAGCACCATCGAGAAGAAACTCTTTACCTGAAGAAGAAATGGAGTTCGTTGTAGATGTAGTCAGAATAGGTACATAGTAGTCTTGCATTGGACTGTAAAGAGCTGTTGAAAATGTTAATGATAGGAGTCAAGATTAAAAAGTGTATGTGATACAACTGAGTAGGTTTAATGCTCTCAAAAATGACTATATGCTGTATTGTTTTATATTTAAAACTTGAAGAAATAGATTGTAACTAACAACTAGACTGTGTCATAGTGTCTTTTATTTTTGTAAACCTTTGTAAATTATTGTAAACCTGATTGAAAAAGAGTAACCTATGGAGTATCTTGCTTGTTCTTCTCCATAGGAATCGACACCTTGGAATGAGTAAATAGCTTCACTTCTAAATTTTTGTTGTTGACGTTCAAAATGCCATCCTGGTCTAATTTAAATAAATGATTTTGACTTTAACTTTGACTATTATGGTTTGCTGAACTGGGTTCGATTCTTTGTTTGTCTTTTTCGATACACTATTGTTACATAAAAGAGATCAACTGGGATTTAGGTATTAAAATTACGTAATTTTAAAAATGGACTGCACAATATCTGGTATCATACAAATGGACACAAATTAGAATTACTTACCTCGGGTAAGAATGTTTCAGCCATGAGAACAAATGGCACGGTACCGGCTCCACAAGTGTACATCACAGCGAAGGTGTATATGAAAGTAGCCGTCAACCAGTTTGGTCCCCAGTGGAACTGCATCAAAGTTCCTAGGACTACGCAGCTTATACCACTGCCTAAGGAGGCGTAAATCATGAGGGGCTGGAATAAAAATGTTTTATACTTGATTAAAGATCACGATAAACTTTATTATTTTGGATTTCCAAAGATTCTTATGAATAGGAAGAAACTGACTGTGGTATCATTCAGAAATAGAGTCAACCTCTAGTTCGCAGCACTTACTATTCGTTTATCTACCTCTAGTTAAAAGTGGTTATTTGATTTCAATGGTGAGTCACTAAATTATTATTTTTTTTATAAAAATCTAAAATATGCGATTTGCACCCAAGCGTAGCGTAGTTGTCGTTGTCACTCGGAAGTTTATGACGCCCGCTTCTCATGTATGAGAGTGCGGGTTTAAAACCTACCAATAGCAATTACCAATGTCACTTTTACCAAGTTATATTATATGTACTTTGTAAGATTATTCATTTAGACACCATTAACAAACAGTGAAGGAAAATATCGTGAGAAAACCTAAGCTTAAAATTTATAATGTTGAGTTTGATATTGGCAATCCGCATTGAGCAAGCGTGGCAATTAACGCTCAAAACTTCTCCATGTGAGAAGAGGCCTTTGGTCAGCAGTGTCAACTTATAGGCTGTTGTTGTTTTTGATGTTGTAGTTTATTATTGTCTCAGCATATAAAAGTACCAGGACAACATAAAACTAAAGAAGCTCACCCGTCTTCCAAGCGAATCAGTAGCGTAGGCTGCAATCATTCCAGCCAACACAGTCGTCACTGCTAACATCACACTGCAAAGAGTTGGGGAAGCCGTTGGGACCGCCTCAGTGAATATGGGCTCCGCGTATATCTGGACTACCACCAGACCTTGGAAGATGGCTGCAGTCATAACCACCATGTTCACCAGGAAAGCACGTTGTGTGGATTTTGATTTTTCTGTGGATATAAAGAGAAAGATTAAAATTTGTTTTTTACCTGCCTATTATGTGTTCATTAATGATACCACCACTTATTCACATAAATATAGCCTATACGCCTATATGCCAGTTTGTTTGTAATACCCTCATAGATGAACTATTGGCATTATCATAACATGATTTAATTTAGGTTGAAATAAGGTTTTTTTTACTTTATAATTATTTATATTTCTGACTAGCTACTTCCGCGCGGTTTCGCACGCTCTGCTTAACTCCTATTGGTCGTAGAGTGATCTTTTATAACCTATAGATATTCTCGATAAATGCACTATCCAACACAAAAAGAATTATTCAAATAGGACTTGTAGTTACGGAGATTAGCGCGTTCAAACAAACAAATAAAAAACAAACTCTTCTTTCTTCTATATAATAGTACCTATAAGATTGAACTAAAAAAAAACACTTACTAATGAATTTCCACAATGACAATTTTTCAGGAGCAGCAGGTTTAATATCTCCCTGTAGTTTTTCTTCTTCAGGAGTCTCATCTGTAAAAGGAATAAAATAAATTGAGAATGACGTACACAAACCATATACCATCAAAAGAATTAACAATGATAGCACGAAGGTTATATACATAGATAGCTAGCTATACAGGAGGTGCTAGCGATAGAATTAGAATATGAAGAAAATTTTTGCAGACAAGATATTCTATAATCTATTGTTAATCATATATGGAACATGTAGTTACCTCCAAGATCGGGGTTGAGAGCACGCTTCATGTTGCTAATTTCATCTTGAAGCTCCTTTGAGTTCAGCTTCCACATTCTGTAAAACGCTAAAGATTGTGCAGCTTCCTGAAAATAAAGAAAAAGTGACTTTGTACTTCTCGTTACTATTTTTTCCTTACTTTTTGTTTTATTAAAATGAACGCTCTCGGTTTTGCCTGTAGGTATTAATTGGTTTGAGAATGACTGAACTGATATTGAAATGGTTTTCTTTTTTTATTATTATTAAACGTGGCCCCACACTAGAATTTTCTCCTGTGTCGTGGGTGCGTTAACAAACATACAAGTTCTTTGAACAAGAAGCTTCTGATATTTTACAAAAAACAAAGAAATTGAATCACCTTCGGCAATTCTTATGATGATATAATATGATAATATTTCTTTGATGTAATTTGTTTTTTATTCATCATCATCATTATCAACAGCCTATAATTCCCACTGCTGAGCAAAGCCTCTTCTCACACGGAGAAGGTTTGAGCAATAATCACCACGCTTGCTCATTTTTGTTGGCATGGCAATTTTTTTTATTAGCTGAAAGGAAATAACTAAAAACTTAACATAATGCAAAGCTGACCTTTTCCTTCCCCTTATTCAACAGATGCATAGGAGTCTCCTTCAGAATGAACAAGCAGCAAGTACCAGCGATGGACATAGACATTCCAACGTACAACATGACGTCATAGGAGAGGAACCCTCCTAGCAAATAGGAGAGCAGCATTCCTAACCCATAGGAGATCATGTTGCAAGCAGTCATGCCTCCTCTAATGGACTCCTGGCAGATCTCACTGATGTAGACCGAGCCGACGAGGAAGACTGAACTGGCGATCCCTGAGAGGAATACTGATACTAAGACTGCTACTACGTTTCTTGTGCTGACTAGTAGCACCCAGACGAGCTGAAAGTCAAAGAGAATTGGTCTTATTAACATGGATTTGGTGTAAATTAACATTCTGTTAGATAAATGTTCAATTGAAAAATTTTATCAGTCGAAATGTGAATTTTATTGTTGTGCGTAGTATTTAATTAAAAGTCATCGCACACCTAACTAAGAAGCACGGCACTAGCACGGCTCAAGCGCAGTGTTTCTTTTTGTTTTGGAAACTATACAAAAAGGTTGTAAGCACGCCGTCAGCGCGCGGGCGCGTCGTATTCAGGATTCCTAACTTTAGAATATTTATAATCAAATTGACATTAATTGATAAACTTTGATATGGAACAATTGCCAAAATAATATTCAAAGTTATTCACATAGCATCCCCTAAGGGGTAGGTAGAGATGCGCATTACGCCACTGTACACCACGTTTCACTATTCATGTTATGAGTACTACTCACAGAAATATTAATTATATCTATGGTACTACTTCTGAGATTTTTTTTTAAAACCCAGTAATACTATGCCCGACCCGGGAATCGAACCCGAGACTCCTCGACTTGCGACCACTCGACCAACGAGGCAGTCAAAGTTATACCTTAGTTAAAATTTATCTGCCGTTGAATAAATCGGTTCTTACCGCAACATGCTGTTGTGCAGTGAAGACTAGGTATGGTTCAAAATAAAAAAAAAACTTACAACTAATCCTAAAGAATTCATGACAGAACAGTTTCTTCTGCCAAGTAGCTCCAGCATATATCCAGCAGAAGGTGTAGAGATGAGAGCTCCAATGGAAGACAGACTGCCAAACAATGATATCTCCGTGTCTGTCATCGGTCTATCCAGTGTTGTGTTTGGAGTTTGAAAGAGTGTTATGGTGAACGCTGGCCAGGCGAAGATCACGCCCATGTTTATGCCCATTGTGCTGACTGTGGACAACAATGTTAATAATATAACATAGCATCACGCCAAAGGGGCAAAGGAGAAGGCAGAGGTGCACATTACGGCACTTAATGCTACTGTACAATGTAACACTTGTACTGTATAGAAAGAAATTTATTGCCAAGACATTAAAAAATACAGTACATTATAAGTAACATAACATAATTTTATCCCTTATATCCCCGAAGGGGAAGGCAGAGGTGCACATTACGGCACTTAATGCCACTGTACAATGTAACACCCACTGTTCACTATTTATGTTACTAGTCCCATGTAATAGAAAGTGAGCATATAGCCATATACCGGGCGCAATCCCAGACCCTGTGCTACTACTGATATTTTTTTTATAAAACCCTGTAATACTTTGCCCGATCCGAGAATTGAACCTGAAACTCCTTGGTCGACAGTCGCACTTGCGACCACTCGGCCAACGAGGCATGGTGTTTACCTTTCAATTAAAATCATATAGGTACTAGTACCTTCTAAAGCTTTAAACAACATGAGACTCTAAAAACAAGACTATAAAGTTTACAATACTTGTTACGTTCATAGTTATATGAATACAATAAATTTTATTTCATCTGCATTGTCAGTATCTCAACATTATACTCCTTATCTAGTGTAGTGAGAGATTTTTATATCTAAGTTAACTATGTATACAGATGCGTGATTTTATATCAGTATTTGTTCATGTTGTTCCCATGGGGTTTCCCTTGTATTTGGAGTGGAAAAACCTGTAATAAAATGTAGAATATGGCAATGATCTCTAGTGTTATACCCAAGAATACGGTATAATAATAATAATAATAATAATAATCTTTATTGTACACCTTAAATTAATAGAATATACATGTAATGTTATAATAAAGAATAGTAGGGTACAAAGGCGGCCTTATCACTAAAAGCGATCTCTACCAGGCAACCTTTGGGTGAATGGAGCACTATTGTATGAAAGTGGAGGTTGTTCTAGGTGTACTCAGGTATCTACTTATAAATTATATATACAAGTAAAATATATATTCTCTAAATAAAATAATATATATTTACATACAACATATATAATATATACCTAAAACTATATATATACATGCATAAATACATAAATAAAATGTAGTATGAACAATGAATAGACAACAGTAAAGAAAAAACAAAGAGAGAAAAGAAATAGTAATGGTAAATTACAACGTGGAGAGATAATGCTTTTTCACGAGTGCTTTGAATGCAACAAGTGACTCTGCTTGTCTTATAGAAAGTGGCAGAGCATTCCACAGTCGAACAGCTCGAACTGTAAAAGATCTGTCAAATGATCTGCTCGCATGCTGGGGCATTTCAAGCTTCATGTCCTCCGATGACCGTACTGGTCTAGAATGTGTGTCATGGAAGAACTGGAAACGTTCTTTGAGATAATGAGGGGTAGTAGGATTGAACAGCGTACTGTAGAGTAAAGATAAGATATGAGTATCCCGGCGAAGGCGGATCGGCAGCCACTTAAGCTTAGCACGATATTCGGAAATGTGGTCATATTTGCGTAAACCAAATATAAACCTTATACTGAAATTTTGGAGTCGCTCAAGTTTGTCCAACTGCACTTCGGTGAGATCCGGATAGCTGACGTCAGCATAATCGAGGATGGGAAGGAGAAGTGATTGAGTAAGCGCAATTTTAGTAGCAGTCGGAAGAAAGTTTCGAAGTCTACACAAAGATCTTGCAGACGCAAACATTTTCCGGCTGACTTGTCCCAGTTGAGCTCCCCAAGAGAAGTCTCGGTCTATAACAATACCCAAGTCTTTTACCGTATCACTGTATGGTATTGTGGTACCATTAAAAACAATCGGAGGGATCTGCGACCATATAATTTTAGAGCGTAAACGGGGGCTACCAACAACAATGACCTGTGTCTTCGCGGGATTAATTTTCAAACCATAGGCCGTACTCCATTCCGAAATTCGTGCCAAGTCGGTATTCACCATCTTGACCGCCTCGGTAAACTCGTTAGGGGGTGCCTGTGAGTAAATTTGCAGATCGTCAGCATACAAGTGGTAGGAAGATAGAAGTTTATTAGAGATGGAATTTATAAAAATTGCGAAGAGTAAAGGAGAAAGAACGCCCCCCTGCGGTACGCCAGCAGCTGTATCAGACCAGGAAGAGTATGAACCCTCAATGGCGACACGCTGCCGGCGGCCACACAGGTAACTACGAAAGAAATCAATCACAGTTGGAGATACGTTAAGAGAGCCCAGTATTCCAAGCAGTATATCAAAATCAACGGTGTTGAAGGCATTGCTAAAGTCCAGCAAGGTGAGCAGAGTTAGATTGCCGTTTTCAACACCGGATCGTATATCGTCAGTGATGTGGACCAGAGCCGTATATGTAGTTAGTTTAAATAAAATATAATTAAATAAAAGGAATCAAAGTTTAGAAGTGCGCGCAAGCTACGTCTTTTTGAGTATAAAATGTACACAAATGTGACGTCACGTGACATTTCAAATTCTCGTTGATTTGTCTACGTAAGAAAATAAATATTAGCCATCTACCCAATAGGTTAGATGCCTAATTTTTATTTTAATGTCCATCTGGTAGATTACTTTAAATCATTAGACACGTATTTTTAACCGACTTCAAAAAAAGGAGGAGGTTCTCAATTCGACCGTATATATGCTTTTTTTTTTTATGTTTGTTCGCCGATATCTCCGTTGTTTATAAACCAATTTTGAAAATTCTTTTTTTGTTAGAAAGGAGATAGTTCCAGAATGGTCCCATGATAAGGAAATCAGGATCTGATGATGGAAGACCAGGGAAACCGAGGGGAACTTTTAAAAATTATAGGGGTGACTAGGGCATTTGTTAATTTTTTCATTAAGTATTAAAAACCACTACAATCTGATAAAGATCTGGAGCCGATCTGATGATGGAGCCGAGAGCCAGTTGAGGGAACTCCTCAACGGTTAACAGTAGCTACCTTGTGTTTGGGTTTGATTATTTTTGTATTGATGAGGACTTTACACCTGTGTGGGATGTAATTGTCAATAAGGGTCTGATGATGAAGTAGTACGATAGTTGAGGGAACTCCTTAACGGTTAACAGTAGCTACCTTGTGTTTGGGTTTGATTAATTTGTATTGATGAGGACTTTACACCTGAGTGGGGTGTAATTGTCAACAAGGGTCTGATGATGAAGTAGTCCAATAGTTGAGGGAACTCCTTAACGGTTAACAGTAGGTATTTTGTGTTTGGGTTTGATTAATTTGATGAGGACTTTATACCTGAGTGGGGTGTAATTGTCAATAAGGGTCTGATGATGAAGTAGTACGATAGTTGAGGGAACTCCTTAACGGTTAACAGTAGCTATTTTGTGTTTAGGTTTGATTAATTTGTATTGATGAGGACTTTACACCTAGAGGGGGGGGGGGGGGGGTGATGGTCATTAAAGGTCCAATGACGAAGTAGTATGATAGCTAAGGGACTCCTCAATGGTTAAGAGTACCCACCCGGTGTTTGAACTTGCATAATTTGTATTGATGGAAACTTTGCATCCATGTGGGTTTTGTATAATGTAATATATCAAAGTACTAAACTAAAAAGTATAAAATAAAATTAAAAAACTGCGTTTAAAAAAACCGACTTCAAAAACAAATGACAAACAAAAAGTAAAAAGGAAAAAAAAACTATTATTGGTCATACGTACTTATAGCTTACACACCCACTGATAGGTTAGAAGTCGGTGCCACAAACCCACAATAAAATATAAAGTAGACAAGAGTCACAGCTGGTATAATCCATAATAAAATTGTAAACAGCTCAATAATGTTAGGTATCTATTAAGGTTTTAATGAATAATTTTGTTTAAAACTTGTGGCACCGACTTCTAACCTATCAGTGGGTGTGTAAGCTATAAGTACGTATGACCAATAATAGTTTTTTTTTCCTTTTTAGTTTTTACTTTTTGTTTGTCATTTGTTTTTGAAGTCGGTTTTTTTAAACGCAGTTTTTTAATTTTATTTATTTTCTTACAGAAACGAATGCTTTCGACAATAATTATTATTTTGAAATGTCGCGTGACGTCACTTCTATGTACATTTTATAGTAGAAATGACGTTTTAGCCCCCACTCCTATTCTTTGATTCATTTCATCTAAGTATTGTTTTATTTATACGACAAAATAAAAAAAATACGTGTCTAATATTTTTTCATTACCTACCTAACTTACGGACTAATTACATTTTTAATTTTTATACCCTGTCATCATTCTAACTGTGTGACAATCACTATACCACCGCGTTGTCAAACAAGGCATTAACTAAAATTTTTCGAACTTATCAAGATGATGATAGTAGTATGATAATATTTTGACTAATTAAACTAATTACAATATTTATTTGACTTAATGAAACGTACCTAATTATATAAATGTAGTAAAAGGATAACAATTGTTTATGTAGCGCACGTGTTTGTAGTACACGCCTAATTAAGCAGTATAATAATTAACATAGCATATCATCACGCCTTTTATCCCCCAAGGGCTACCCCTTGGGGGATAAAAGCCTACCTAGCCTAGCCTATGCCTACGCATAGGTGCACATTACAGCACCTAATGCCACAGTACAATATAGAGGTAACACCCACTTTTCACTATTTTATGTTATGAGTCCAATGTAATATTGATGTGATGGATGTGAGCTTATTGACATCTGAAAATTTAAAAAATACCCAATTTGCCCGACCCGGGAATCCAACCCCTTGCCTGCAATTGCGTCAGTATAATAATATCACATAGAGGTTAGATTTGTGAATTTATTTGTAGCATACACACAGTCAAGTTATTTAGTATGTTCGTAAAAAACTAAATATTGATTCAGTGTAAAGACAATAACTGCACTGTATGTTTCTTTATTATTTTTTTTATTTAACACTTTTTGTACAAATATATACGATGGCGGACTTAATGCCGAATGAGCATTCTCTACCAGCCAACCATAGTCTTTCTTGTATAGAAGCACTATTTTTATGGATTGTCAGTATGTATATGACGTGAGCAACATGTTAGACTATAAGATTTTTGTTTGGTTTTTTATTTTAGTAAGTAGAAAAGTGAGAAAATAAAAAAAATATATATAAAGTCCAATATTTTTTCATTATCTAACTGACCGACTAATTAAATTTTTAATTTTCATATCCTGGTCTATAGGTAACGAAATGGCCGTCTAGCACATAAGAAAATATAGTATTTGTTACTATCAAAAGAATGATGTAGCATTTAATAAAATGTAAAACTAATATAGTTAGTAAAATTTAGTGTCATGCGAATGTTTTGTACAATTTAAAGCTTTCATTAAAACTATGACCGTGTAGAAAATGAGATGTCTTTGTAAATGATATTTATGATTAACTTTACAGGGAAGCAGTGCGGTGATATTTTCAGGATCAAAAAATTGGTAAGTTCTAAGGAAAATCAAAAAATACCACTTGTCTATACGACACAAAAAAATGAAAATTAAAAAAAAAATGAAAATACTCACTGACTAGCGTCCCAAGAAATTGATACAACAAACCCATTTTGAATTGAAAATAACAAAACACACCTTAAAAAAATAGTCAAAAAATCAGCTCTTATTTCAGACCCAGACCTTTCCAACTCTGGCCTGAGTTTCTAACTGGCTAGTAAATAAAATTCTTTTTGATATATCATCTGTTATCAGAGCAATAATGATATTATTGTACTAGGCAAACATAAATACAATGAGAGTGGATTAAGTCTTTATACCTAGTTATGATCACGCATCTTTCTGATTTGTATCTAGATTTGTTCTTAGATCTTATGAATTATGGCCTCCTGGTAGATTAGCGTTTGTAAAATATGGTGTAATTAATTGTAATTAGTTTTTAGAAACTACGCTTCTATATTTAAACAGGAGTAATTATTTTATAAAGTGCATTTATAATACCGACTTAAACCCTTCTTTTTTAAGTCAATCAAGTTAGGTAAACCTTCTCCAAAGTGTAACAAACGCTTTTCTGAAACCCACATCAAAATCGGTTCATATCTACATATCTACATAAATTCATACAGGTAAAACCTCCTTCATTTTTGAAGACGTTTAAAAAGATTCATTGATCTCGATTATATTTCATGCAAAGATTTGAGTAAGAAGTTTATAACATAATGTTTACTTTTAAAACTATAAAACTTAAAAACTAACCAGGAAAATTAGAAAAAACCTAATTACAAAGAGCATCCAAAAAATCATACGCGTCGACGTCAAAAGGGAAGTAAGAAACTAAGAATAAGAGAAAAACTATTTCAAATTCAAATACATTTTTTTATGTGATAATAATATGCAAAATGTTATGCAACATTTTGAAAGACACATTGACTAAATCAGTAATGAAATTATGAGCAGTTTTCAACGAATACATTTTTGAGGACCTTTCATGAAAATATAATCAAATATTGCCTGGGAAACATTCCAGGCAACCCCTGTATCTCCTCAGTGATCGAACGATATTTCATTTACACTTAACCCATTTTATTTTTGTCGCTTCCAATCGTGTATTGTGGATGTCACTAGCTACTAGATGTCTGTCGGATGGATGTCTTGAATAAAAGAAGAATAAGAACATTTATATGCACGAAGTATGAAAAATAGTATAAAAAATAGTCCTCCATATATCACCTGCTGTTACCTACATCGCCATCGCCTACATCGCCTCGCGATCCCCGACGCCCGGAGTGTCCTTCGACGGCTGGGTTGTGAGGAGACAGCGCTTCGCTGCCTTATGTGCCCCGCCTCCTTCTTAGCTAGCATAACTGCTTCGCAATAGGAGAAGACAGCATCCCAATCCCCTTCGTTTCGCATCATGACCCGGACTAGGGCCGTACGCGAGAGGTCGCCGTCGCCTATCCTAAAAACCATACTTTTACTAAATAGGCAAATACGGACTTTTACTCCACATAGTATTGGTATACTTAGATAAAATATTCCTTCGATCCGATTAAATAATTTAGAATTGCTGATCCGAAGATAAATATCTTCGTGAGTTAATTCTGTTAGTTATGCCACGATTCTGTTCTATATCCCAGACACGTTGGAACAAGGATCGCCTGTACGATCCGGTTAAATTGATGTTACGGATGTAACACACACATCGTTGTATGATTTAAGGCCGATTTGACAATCAACAGATAATTCATAACTGTAGAATAAATTTGACAAGTGACAATTTATTCATTTTTTTTTAAACTAAGTTTAATAAAAAACTTTAAACTGTCAAACACCGAACGGTCACCGGTGACCGCAACCTATTGTTCTTTAATTGTGTCTATAATGACCTAATGATGGTACTCAAAGAGTTAATCCCTTCTTTTTTTGAAGTCGGAGTTTTTTAATATACTAAAACCTTACCGTTTTTAATATACTTAAAGACTGCCTCGTTGTCTGGGGTCTCGGGTTTGATTCCTGGGCTGGACAAAGTATTACTGGGTTTTGAAAAAAATCTCAGTAGTAGCACGAAGTCTGGAATCGTGCCCGGTAGGTATCGTGCCCTATATGTCAATAGGCTCACCCCCTATTACATGGGACTCATAACATAAATAGTGAAAAGTGGGTGTTACATTGTAAAGTGGCATTAAGTACCGTAATGTGCACCTCTACCAACCCTTTCGGGGATAAAAGGTATTTTTGTAATGTCTTGGCAATAAAGCTGTTACTGAATAAAAGTAATTCCTTTCTATACTTAAAAACAAATGTTGTAAAAAAATAAGGGATATATATAATTCAGAAATTCCTCAGTTTCACGCTCTGATTAATTTGTATGTATGTAGATTAAGACTCAAAATGTTTTGTTTACGTAAAGATAGCCTAACTAAGAGTTGCGTCGTCAATAAAAATGTGGATAAACAAAAGCACATGCGTCTTATGATAAACTTGTATGACGATACAGACTAACAATCGGTTGTAAAGTATAAAGTTTCAAGTCATTCATAAGATAAATGGTATTTATTCATAAAATTCCCCATGTTTTGACAGCGCAGTGGCTTCTAAACGATGATGTGTTGAGGGTCCGATTCCCGCACGGTACTTTTTTAATAACATAACATCCCGCCTTTTATCCCTGAGGCGTCTGTATAATTAAACACCCACTTATCATTATTTATGTTACGAGTTCCACTTAATATGGGGTGAACCTATTCCCATATATCGGACACAATTCCAGACTCCATGCTCTTACTGGGAATTGAACCCGAGACGCCTTGCCTTGGTCGCAAGTGCGACTGCCGGATAAGGGATCTCGGGTTCGATTCCAGGGTCGGGCAAAGTATTACTGGGTTTTTAAACTGTCAAACACCAAGCGGTCACCGGTGACCGCAACCTATTGTTCTATAATTGTGTCTATAAATACGGTACTCGACGAGTTAAGAAACCTCAGTAGTAGCACGGAGACTAGATTTATGCCCGGTATATGGCAAGGTTTTGGTGAACAAAAATGAAACTTCGGAAATAGCATGCATGGGCATATCCGAAGTTTTGTTTAGAACGCCAGGAGAAGTTTTTGTATAGTATAATAAAAAAAATGATTAGTTTTCTACATTTACATGTCCGATATAGGCGTCTTGAACGCCTTTAACCTGATTATACAACTAGAAAATCCCGCGTGACAATAAAACTGAACGAAACCATAGTTTACAACTAGTTTCATTTACAAATAAACAGTTTTAATTGAAGAGATTAACAAACAGAGAAAATCCTAGTTTTTGAAGATATAAGCAAGTCATCATGATTCTTGACTTTTATTGATCTTGTAATTTATATCAAATGTTTTTAATATCATTAAATCTTGTCTAGACCAAAATGCTTAACAAATCTCGTTACCCTGTTCTCGCCAGAAGCATTATACGAGTATTATGGATATAAAAATGTAAAGAACACTAAATAAGTAGGTATATTATGTTTGTCTTAACCGCTTGAATGCAACGATACGAAACACAATAGAAAATACATTGTGTCTCGCGTGGATTCACGTTTAGACACATGACGAGTTAAACTTCGGTAAACTCGGCAAACTTCATACCGCCTTTAAATTTTTTATTTCACCATTTAAACCTTCTTTGGACTTCCATGAACATTTCAAGACCGAAATTAACCAAATCTGTTGAGCCATTCTCGAGTTTTGACGAGACTAAGGAATGGAAATTCATTTTTATTTATTCAATATTCAATACTTAATACTTTATTGCTTTCCACATGTATTATTTGGGTGCTAAACAGAATTAGGAAACAATGTGGACCCTAGCGGGTCTCCCGTCTCAGCCATACATTCGATGATTTTCCTCCGTTAAAAAATGCTAAACAAGATAAAAGTATAATTAAAATTGTAATATTAAGTGATATTTAGGAATTGGAGTCATTTTTAAAATCTTAAACAATCAATTATACCTAAAAATAGATAGATAGAAGACGGTGCTTTGTAGTCTAAGCACAATTTTTAAACAAAGATACATAGGAGCTGGTAACAGATGTAGTAATGTATGTTTTATTACCAATAGATGGCACTGCATTCAAAAAAGGAGTAGATCTAATAAAAAATCGAGACATTTTTTTAAACGAAAACACAAAAACAGACAAACCAACTTTTTGTATCTATTCTACATAAACACACGATAGTATAAAACAATAATAAAGGCAAAGATAGCGAGATATAATGAGATACAACGTAGACTCACGTCATATAGTGAATCTTTAACTTTGACAATAAAACCCAAACATTTATTGCTGTCAATACAGTTAAAATAGTATTTTCCTGGTTGTTAAATCGGGTGTGTTTGAAGTAGAAACATGTGGTTATGGTTATGTAGGTATTGAATTGAAAGTAGTCGCCTTTTAAACCTCATAGGGATAGTACGAGCACCTAGTAGAAGTGACTGGCTTCATTCCGAAGCCTTAGTACGAGTTTGATTCACGTATAAAGTTTTTTTTTGGCATAATCCGGTAAACGAGCAGACGGATCACCTGATGGAAAGCAGTCGGCGTCGCCCATGGACACCTGGAACACCAGAGGCGTTACAAGTGCGTTACCGGCCATTTGAGAATTAAGAGTTTGAGGATCGTTGGGATTCAGGGATTGGGGAGATTGGGGAAGGGGAGGGTAATTGGGCCTCCGGTAACCTCACTCACACGACGAAACACAACGCAAGCGTTGCTTCACGTCGGTTTTCTGTGAGGCCGTGGTATCACTCCGGTCCAGTCGGCCCATTCGTGCCGAAGCATGGCTCTCCCACACATAAATTCGAAACGAGTACGCGTTCGGCACTCTGATTGGCCGGCGCCAATGAACCAACCAGCCAAAAAAATCTTAAAACAAACTCGTATTTTCGCCTCAGGTATACCTTTTTGGTTCATCTAAATAAGGATAATGAAAATTAAAAACCTAACTAGGTCGTCAGTTACATAATGAAAAAATATTAGAGCCATATTTCTTTTTAATTTTGTCGTATTTAAAAACAATACTTAGATAAAACGAATTGAAGTTTAGGAGTGGGAGTTAAAACGTCATTTCTACGTATAAAACGACCCTAGAACGTACGTCAGGCGTTATTTCAAATAAATATATTGTCGAAAGTATTTGTTTCTGTAAGAAAATTAAAAATAAGTGTCTAATGTTTTACAATAATCTACCAGACGGACATCAAAATAAAAATTTGTTTTCTACCCTATTTATCAAAGTTATCGTGCATGCTTCACGGTTTAACCCGTGGTATCATTACCCGAACACACATCAACGCGAGATAATGTTTGTGTTTTCTATTGTGTGCCACATATCGATAGATAAATGTAAATTGTAATTAAAAAATAGTGATCAAAAGGTGTTTTTGTGTTTTAATTCAAATTTATGACATCTCACCTTTCAACCTCGAAGGAGTAGGAGGAGGCACATTACAGCGCTTAATGCCACTGTACAATGCAACAACCACTTTTCACTATTTATATTATGAGTCCCATATATCCCCAAAGTCTCATAGGGGGTGAGCCTATTGCCATATACCAGGCGCCATGCCAGACATCTTGCTACTACTGAGATTTTTTTAAACCCAGTAATACTTTACCCGACTAGTGTTTCTAGCGACCTAGTGTTTCTCTCTAAAAGACTAGGCGACTACTGAAGGTCCTTGAAGGTCATCAAAAAAAAACTAAATGGTTGTCAGCCTTTGAGTGAGCCAGATTGGGGTTTAGGTAACTTCACTCATACGGGGAAATACAAACCAAGCGTTGTTCCACGCCGGGTTTTTGTAACCCCGAGGTATCATTTCGCTCAAACTGACCTATGGCAAAGTATTGGCTCTTTCGCGTGTCTGATGGTATAACTGCTTATGATGGTTCTAGGTTAAGAGCATTCAGGTATTATTACAACGATTACACTAATACGTCCCTACGTCAAATAGATTTATGATGTGGCGTTAGTAATTACGTTTAATTATATTTACTACGTAATAATAATTAACTTGAAGTTTTTTTTATGGAATAGGCCGGTAAATGAGCAGACGGATCACCTGATGGTAAGCAATCGGCGCCGCCCATGGACTCCCGAAACACCAGAGTTGTTACAAGTGCGTTACCGGGCTTTCGGGGATTAGGGGATTGGGTAATTGGGCCTCTGGTAACCTCACTCACACAACGAAATACAATTGTACTGTATTGTTTCAAGTCGGTTTTATATGAGGCCGTGGTATTACTCCAGTAAAGCCAGCCCATTCGTTCCAAAGCACCGCTCTCCAATACTTTTAAATATAGAGCACACTATTTTTTTCCTAAAGTGCATGTACATGCAGTTACATATTCCTATTCTAATACATTGTTAGGCACAAAACTAGGCTCGATATTCTAATAAATGTATAGAACACAACCAAATTAGTGATATTCCAAACTGAATTGAACGTATAGCTGTATATTATAATTATGTAATTTTCGAAACTATCATGGTGTTTTAATTACTTTATTAAAATATACAAAATAATATATTATATATATAATATCTTCGCAAACAGTTTTTTTATGTACCAGGAGATACAAACATTGAACGCCTTTGTTTAACCAAGTACCAGGATAACAGAAATTTAACGGAACATCTCCACAACAAACGTAAGGAAGGATAGAACTTCGAAAAGGTTATTAACGATCCTTCAAGCCTCTGCATGCCTGGTACCCGATATGTAATGTTTGGTTAACTTTAATTGGTTTAGTTAAACTAGCGTAATAGTTTACAAACCCTTAGCTGTTAGAAGTTATTCTGTTAACTGTTTGATAGTTAACTGTTTGCTTAAGATAAATTTAATCAAGCTTTGTTTTAGAGTATATAACAGCGTGAGATTATTGTTTTCTCTTCAGTTTGCGGTGATGATAAGTCGAGGTAGGATGTATTTTACTATTGCGTGGTCACATTGTCAGCTCGCTTATTAGTTTCGAGGTAGATTTCCAGATTGTGTGATATTATATAATATGTATTGGTTTGATTACTGGCTCCATCCAAAGGTTTTCTCTAAGAAACCACCTAGCTTCACTGACGGACAGACTGACAGACTTTAATTTATTTTGTATTTGTTGACGTTTCAAAAGTACCAAAATATGATTTAATTGAAATAAATGCTTTGACTTTGACTTTGAAATCACATTCTGCGATAAGACCGCCCTTTTATACATATGCTGTTTTCTGCGGTTGGTTTTTACGGTGTATAATAATTAAAATGAAATAAAATAAATATTTTTCGCTCACTTCTTGTAATTCCCAAACAGAATAGAGAGTATTAAGGTCATTGAACACGTTAAAAGCACGGCTCTGAAACGGCTCAAACACGACACCGGCACAGGTCCAGCACGGCTCAGGCACGATTCCGGCACAACTACGGCCCGGCGATTTTTGCTTTGAAAACAATACAAAAAGATTGTAAGCGCATCGACGGTGCGCGGCCGACTTTTTATATTGACGTTATGAAATATGACAAACGACGTACGGTTTTAAGTCCATATTTAAATGACAATTTGATTGCTGGGTGGAAGCCGTGCCGCAGCCGTGCTTGTTAGGTACGAAGTAGTACCCAGTAGTAGAGGGACACATAATAATAAGACTATGTGACGTAATTTTTATATACTCTAAAACAATCAGTGTTGGGTGCTCACTGTGCCCAGCTTTTAGCTGAGTTGGCGACCCATTCGGCTTGGGCATGTCTGCCAATATCGCGCAGAACTTATGTTATACATACCTATTTTTATTATCACATACATTTTGTGGTAGAATAAAGGCTATTTTTATTTTATTTTATTATTTATTTATTTTTATTATCTTCTAGTTTTATAATTTAGCTTTTATCTTTTTATTCACACTCTCTTGTGTTATTATTTTTTCTTTTTTAGTTGTTTTAATCAAATTGTATTGTATTGTTATTTTTTGTTCCTTGCATTCATGCCGTATGCCGAATAAAACTCTTTAATTTAATTTCATAATTTTTAATAGGAAGCGTGACTAAGTTTTGTCATTTATCAGTCAGGATTCCAGACTCCGTATTATATTATATTAAAAAGAATGTATCGTGGTGCACCGCCTTGGAATTGAACCCTCTTCTGCAGTCACATTTGTAGCCGTTTGATCAAAGTCTTGACTTTGACTGCACAGTTGGCGCGGTGCCTGGGCAACAGACTGCCGTGCAATGTGTCGCGAGTTCGATTCCCGCATGAAATAAGTGTGGGAGAGCCATGTTTCGGCACGAATGGGCCGGCTCGACCGGAGTGATGCCACGGCCTCACAGAAAACAAACGTGAAGCAACGCTTGCGTTGTGTTTCGTCGTGTCAGTGAGGTTACCGGAGGCCCGAATACCCTCCCCTTTCTCAATCTCCCCAATTCCTGAATCCCCAACCTCAAACTTCTAATCCCCAAAAGGCCGGTAACGCACTTGTAACGCCTCTGGTGTTCCAGGTGCCCATGGGCGACGCCGATTGCTTACCATCAGGTGATCCGTCTGCTCGTTTACCGGCTTATGCCATAAAAAAAACAACTCTTTGTGTAATCCACAAATTGTTGTTCCTGGTCTGAGGGTCATGTGTATGTGAACTTATAATAATATGTTTTTAAACGCATCCACGATGCAGGAGAAAATTTTAGTGTCGGGCAACGTTTTACAAAAACAAAAGAAAATCGAGGTAGATTCTACATATCCACACCTATCCAAAGAATAAAATATAATTATGATACTTTGTTGGCAAACATCTAAGTTAAAATTTTGTTATAAAGATTTCTACCAAAAATATGTCAAAAAAAATGCAAACCAACGAGAATTTATGTATTTGACCAGTCTCGTTTATTACCTTAAAGCTTATATCTTAAACTAGTTCAATTTCTTTAAACACTTGTCACCGTTTACGAGGATTTCTCTTAAACTTAATATGCTATTTGAGGAAACACTAAGAAACAAGCTTTTTTAATAAGTTCTTGTTTTACTTTCAAAAGTATTTTTTTCTTTAACAATTTCCAAAAAAACATTGTAAGAATACGAGCGATGTACCAGGAGCGCATAGCAACAAAGCAGTTCGAAAATCACTCGGCACCCGACGCGTATTCGAAAACGTAGAAAACGGGCGAGCGCGGGCTCCGTCAGGCTCCTCATTAACCCAGAAAGTGGTGGCCGTCGACTCGAAGCTAAACCAGTGAAAGACGATGAAAACTAGTATACGAGATATATTAGCTAGTGGTGAGCCGATCCCGAGCTCAGTCGCAAAGCGTCCGCGGACGGTGCCGCATGTGTTTCACGCCTCTCCAAGTTCCGATCGCGTTGACCGTTCCAAATTTAAAATTTCGCTGGAACTTAGCTGTGTTTGTGTGTGAACGCGTGCTTTGGGAATTATTTTGAGTAAGTTTTTTTTTTTTTAGTAAAAATTACTTTTATTATTACACACGGTATCGTTAAAAATAATTAGCCTATTAGCAACGAGAGAAAAGTTATAGTTAAGAAAGTCGTAAAGCTTAATCATTAAGTTTTTGTGCAATAAATCATTTTTACTATAGTCAAGTTTTAAGTCATCGGAAGTAAAAGGCCATTAACAAAATGACGAACACGTTTTATAATCATCTTTACACCAATTCTAAGAAAATACAAAAATGTTCTCACAGCACTATAACAATAATTAAATGACAGTGACACTTAAAGCCTAACTCTTAAGTTCTATTTTTGGACTTCCAATAAAACAAACTCACATTTACTTTATACACAGATAAAAATCCTCTACAAATGCATTCAATAAATTGAAGAACGAAATGCAAGAATTTATTTAGCCTGGCCTTTAAAAGGCGTATTTTTCGAACGAGTTTTCTAGTGCTTATTACCTACATTGGTATTCATGGAAAGTCATGTATAATCTACGATGTCCAATGGACACCGACGCTAAATATAAACTAATTTTACCTTACTTTTTTCCGTAAAATGTTGCATTTTTAATAGTCTCATAACTTATTAGAAGCATTGAGTTAGGAATTTGGTTTGATTTATGACGAAAGGCTCATTCCTAATTACATAGGACATTACATTATGGGCCAAAAAATAAACGTTACGAATCACAATAAATGTGTAATTAACCTCTTTGCCCTGAATAAAATAAAAACAAAAATGTGACATGCTCTTAAAAATTGAAGTAACAATGTTTAGAATTCGAATTTTAAATATTCAAATTATCTGTAATTGCTTGAACAGTTGAACAAATGAATAAAGTAGATCAATCGCATACAAAGCTTTTGTATTTGGAACGCACGCCGGCCATTTGTAATCTTGTTTGCGATCACAATCCTCATTTGAAGTAAAACTTTTTGGTGTAAAAATACGCCACAGATGTGAAATGTTTTTAGAAAATTATTCTGTTCTTATAAAACTAGCTAAAACCAAGTTGAAGTAATTGTATCTATGTTCTATTAATAGTGAGCACGTGGGTTAAAATATCTGAGATACAATTGGTAATGCAGCACTTTCATAAATGTATAAATGCACGCACGAGAATATTGAATCTATTATTTTTTATGAGGAGATTCAACAAAGAGGTTTGCTATCGGAAATGTAACTATATAGTTACAACTGCACAGATGTGACTATTGAAGAAATATAGTTTGACTTAGCTTGGTTAATTGATAAACTAAATCAAGATCGAATAGAATATACCTCTAGATATATAGGTACAAAATAGCAGATACTGGTCCAGAAAAAAAATTATGTTGAACTAGCTTGGGCCTCTAGTTTCACTTGAGTTACCGAAACAAAAGGTTGCCAACATGTAATTCCAGCATTAATCTATATCTGAGCCAAATTTTATTCAGATACATTCAGTAGCTTTTGCTTTAACGAGTAGCAAACATGCACACATCCTCATAAACTTTTTATATATGAATACCAGGACGAGGTATTGAATTTCCAGTAATTTAGAAATTCCGTTAGGTTATATGTATCTTGAGGTATGGATGCAATTTTTCAAAGAGATGCAATTTACCCGCCACACTTAAGATTTGTAATCACTGAGACCGTTGCGTATTACGTGGATCGTAAAGTCACAACTGTTATATACGACATAGAAAACAACTTACAATACATATTAACTTTCAGCTAATTTTACAGAAATAAATTCACTTGTTTCACTTATTTCACTTGTATTATAAAGAAAACGACCTTACAGGTTACGCTATTATAGACAATTTTAGGCTCGTTTTAGTGTCTTGCTGACTGCACACTGACCGTCGGCGCTTACAGCCAAGAAATATGAAATTCTAGGAACTGTGCGGGCTGATAGCAACGCGTCAGTCAAAAATGCTACGTTTACATCTTGTCCCGGAGAACCTAATGGGTTACCGAGCCTCCGGCTCGAAGTGCAGGAGAAGGAACGGGGTGGTTTTAGTCAGTAAGAGTCTGACACTCCTTTCCGCCTTACCCAGGCGGGAAAAGTCATTTGATGATTTTCTACCCTCAAAAAAAAAGTTCATACATCTCGGCTGTCAGCGCTGACGGTCAGTGTGTGATCAGCGCGGCACTATAACCAGCCTTACAATAAGATAAAAACACTCGATGAAGACGAAGATGACTGTAAAGAAGTCAAGATTTCAAAGATTGCATTTAGGTCGGGGAAAACATTATGGAGACTTCTAACTGTCTAAATTCCACGTGTTAACTCACGCCATAGGAAAAAACAGCACTTGCAGAGCACCACCTCTGTTTTTTGTATACTTTTTTATCTATAAACTTTATTTCAAGTCTAATAACATCAGATTTCAATCTCTTATCCACAGTCTTCCCAGGTTCTATAATCTCATAATTGGACAGTACCGAATCATTAATAGCAACTGCCTCACAGTACGGTATTGTCCGTCTGTGCGGTCCAGACACGGTGATTTAAACATTAGAGACAATCAAACAAGCGTGCGGTAACATCGCTTGTTGACGGCTACACTTTGCTGTGGTATTTTCTATTAAGGTTGCAGATAGTTTGGACATCATAGCTTGAGATGACGTGAGTAAATATTTTGTGTGCAGACATAGTTCGATTTTTGACAGACATAAAATCAATATAAAAGAAACTTTTTTTTGGTTACTCACGTAACTGTTTGTTAGTTTCAAGCCAGCACCAGTGCGACAGTCACCTAATCGTGTGTCGCGGAATGCTGCTCATGAATATGAGCCTCTAGCATGGCTTAAATAGTCGAGTTCCTCGTCAAATAGTTATGTGGGTAGACAGGAAATAAAGTTAAAATAGTTATGGAAAGATTCGTTCACTATGTCAAAAATATAAATTTCCCACTTAATTTAAAACAGCATGCATGAAAAGACCAATAACTGCTGATAAAACGAAACAGCCATAAATAAGAATCGTAGCAACTAGTGTTCCATAGTCTCTGCCCCTATGAGAGGTTAAGCACGTATGTAATATAAAATACAAATGTATAAAATGACAACATTATAGTAATAGCTCATTCCTCATTAATAACAGGAGAATCCGGTTTGCACGAGGTAATATTACGGACAGATGATCCCTTTATTCAGCAAGGAAGTAGTAAAAAAGTAATCTATGAGCTGTTCTAACTGGAAATGTCAGTTTTAACGCGATCCAGTCTAGACGTAATAGGAAGTAATGAAAAAGAGATGAAGTGATCATGGTATAAGATCTAGTTAATTGATCTGCTGAAGGTAAATTTTAAGATATATTTTTATTCAATAGTTAATGTTACATGTATTAAATAACTAATTTAGTAAGTGATGACTCCAACACTATAACATTATACCTCTAGAGCGGACACCGGTGACCGCGACCTATTGTTCTTTAATTGTGTCTATAATGACGGTACTCAAAGAGTTAATGTATAAGGTCAACAACTGTCACAGAGTGCACTGTCTAGTGTCTATTTGTCGTACTTTGGTGTGTGGACTCGACGAATGCTCTGTCTGTCTGTCCGATTTGAATGTAAAATAATAAATGCCAGTAAAATAAATTCAATTCGTTTAATCATTAATCCACCAATACAACAGTTAAGAGAAATGATGTTATAAAGTTATTACATATCTGGAAGTAAAAAAAGTACATTTAATTTTCTCGAATTTTGATAATTTCATATTGGTCTAGCTTAAGGCTCGACCTGAAAGATTTTTAGTATTTCTGAACCGATACGACCTTCAATCCTTCAAGAAAAGAGCGTATTCCTTATTAAGAGGCCGGCAACGCACCTGCGACTTCTCTGATGTAGCGGGTGTCCATTGGCGGCGCTGATCGCTTACCATCAGGCGGTTCGTCTGCTCGTTTGCCTCCTATTCCATAAAAAAGTATCACACACAAGCAGATGGATTTTTTAGCAAGTTTTAAAAACACTAAATATCAGTTACAGTTTTTAATTTATTTTCGATCTATTAAGTATGTGAGAATGTATTTCTCAAATGTTAAGTTAAAAAATAAGTACCGCACAACCTTAAGTAGCTTGGTGTTACAATAAATCACAAACATGTTGCTTACTTAAAGATTTCAAAATGTTAGATTTGTCGCTAAACAATAAAAATAATATAAACAATTGCTAACTAGAAACCACATAGATTGTATTAGCAAGTTACTTCAGATTTAAACGAGTTTTCATTGCGAGTAACGATTCTGTGTTAAATGATGGACATACGTGGCACACAACCCTACACATACATTTTACATGGTACCATAAAAATTGTACTTAATATTTTAGAAATATTCGCTCCCATAGGAAGTGTAAGTGAGCTGTTTTTAACAACTGAATCCACCGTTTGGCCCGACTCTTCAAAAACTTGAGTAGCCTTGGTCTAGCTCATCGCTAGCAAAATTGTGAGGTACATCACTGATCATTTTCTGGGTCAACCCAAAAATTTTCAATCATAGCCTAGTACCTAGGCACAAATCTCTAATCTTCCATTCACATCGGTATTAAGGAAAATTCTTCAATTATTATACAAAGAAAGAAGTAAACTTTCTCACTGAAGCTGATGATACCGATCACAATGAAGATGCATATTCAGAACACCTCAACGATAATAAAACATCAACACTCCATGATAATAATAAACATAAGTATCATCTGTCGATCAAACCAGAAAGAAATGCAGCAAAAAAATCCGTTACATCAATTAATAAGGATCAATAGTATTGAGACTACTTCAAGCATCCATTTTAGGAGCAAAAAATGACCAGTATTGTTCAGAAGATTTAGGCCAGATTCTGACACAGTTTTGAAATCATTTTTATATATTGGGCATTCGACTTGCCCGCTGCGATGTTAACGGTGTGCAAGTATAGCACAATTGACTTATTGTTGAACTCCTTTGGAGTCAATAAGATCCTTTTCTTCGATAGTGAAAGGTCAAATGATTCA